AGGGCAACACCGTGGTCAGGTGGGTCCACTCGCACGCGCAGATCGCGGACGGGCTCACCAAGGGCAGTTGGCAGGCGTTCGGGGTGCTGAAGATGTTCCTCGAAAAGCAGGAACGGCGGCTGGGCTACGACGAGCACTTCATGAGCGCGCGGAAGCGCGCGGCGCTGGGCAAGGGCATCTTCGAGCCGACGGCGCCCGGCGACGCCCAGTCGGCCAAGGAGGTCATCGAGAAGCGACGCCAGCTTCGACAACAGCAACAGTGCCCACCACCACCAGCTGGACCAGCACCAGAGAGCACGACCGTCGTTCGGCCTCCAGAAGAGACCTTCGTGAGTGAGACCGGCTCCTGTTCTTGTTCAGTTTCGGGCCAGCAGGGCCCCAGGCACACTGCAATTTCTTTTCCCCCTGTCTGAATGTGATAGGGGTATCTCATGTTGCTAGCAGTTGTATCGAGTCTGTTTCATGTGTCCCATTCTCGCTCACTGCTACCGTTATCATTTCAGTGTGCCGCCGCCACCTCGGATCAGGCGAGGGTGGGCGGGATTCCTTTCTGGATGAACCTGCGAGTTCGCACGCAGTGGCGCGCTCTGGAGACGTGCCAGGAAAGAGTGCGAGGGCAGCGGGTGCCCTCTTCATTTCACTGAGTGTGTTCTGACAATCAAGCGTCAAGATTCTTGACATACTGACGATCCTGATGTGAAGGAGCTCGAGGCCCGGGACTTCCTAGTCGTGGACCTCTTTCGGGCTCCTTGGGATTCAGATTAACCCGCCTTAATCCCGCTTAATTCCGCTTAATCCGAGGCCCACTCCGGCGTAATAGCCCCCAAATGGGGCTTAATCATCCCAGTACTAGCCTCCTAACCATCATCATGGTCATCATCATCACCCAGCCCCGCTCTGCGCGGCGCCCAGCCGTACCCGAGCCCTGCTCCAGCAGCGGGCAGCTAGTGCAGCAAGGCCAGGTAGCGAACTCGCCAGGCCGCACCGCCGCCCGCGCGGCGCCGGCCGCTCTCGCCGCCCGCTCTCGTCCACAGGCCTCCGGGGGAGTTCCCCTTGCGGGGTCTCGGAACGTGTGAGAGGTGGACCGGCATGGACGGATACGCCGGCAGTTTGCTGGCGTATCCGTCCATGCTTCTGCTGCAGAGGCAGGAGGGGGGAAGGGGGGAGGAGAGGAGGAGAGAAGGTGGAGGAGGAGGAGGAGGAGGTGGGGCGCGGCGTTGTTGATTCAAAGCGAGGGTCCGCCTCACACGCGATCGTTCGGGGGGAGAGTTGCCTACGTGCAACGTACTGTGTTCGTCGGCTGCTCGATGCTTTCTCGCCTCGGGGTGCTTGCCAGCAGCAGCGGCTCGCCGAGGGCGTTCTGGGGGTGGCAGAATCGTCTCGAACGACCGCTGGATGCCCGAGTTGTCGCCCGAACACCATGCAGCAAACGCTTCGAACAAGCAACATGATTGTTTCAGTTAACCATATTGGGCTTCCCGGAGCCTTCTCTAGGGCCCGGGAGAGTCAACACGACGCAGGATGAAAAACCAGCTTTGGGGAAAGGGTCGGTCTGCAGGGAACCCGTACTGCTCTGAGAAAAAAGGCACGGAGTCTTTGGTTCTTTGTCGCGAAGTGGAAAAGATACCGCTGCCGCTGCACGCTCATCGTCGCCACGGCTGGATTCGCCGCGAAGCTCTCGTCAGAACGCACCCTGGGAGAGGCACAAATCGTAGCAGTATTGGTCTCAGGTTGTTCCCCCAACCTCGCTTCCTCCGCCGCATCCTCATCCTCATCCTCGTCGTCGTTGTTATCATAGTCGCGATGCGTACCATCCTCATCGCCGTTATTATTTTCTGCCTCGTTTTTCTTCCTCCCCTCCTCTCTTCAAGGATGTGCCCGCCAAGGCCCACTGTCGGCCAGCTGCAGGACTCTGAGTATCGTTGCTCTTATGGTCGTCTCATCGCCAAAGATGGGCTGAGGTTCTACTTCCCTCTCCGCCCCCCTCCTCCCCGCGCCCCGCCCCAACTTCACGTGTTTCGTTCCCCCCCCTCGTCCCCGTTTCGCGTTCCCCCCCCTCTTGTTTCCCGCTTTCCCTCGCTTTCCCTCCCCGTCTCCCGTTCCCTCGTCCCTCCTGTCTATTTCCCGTTCCATGCTTCCTTGTCCTCGTTTCGCGTCCTCCCTCCTTTCTCCCTGTTCCCCGTTCTGCCATTCCTCTTACCGGACAACTCATAACACCATACAGTGGGCCGTGGGGATTTGTGGGGTCGTCGCGCGCAGCGGGCCAGAGGCGTCGCGGGAGGCGCCGCCAGGGGGGGCCTTGCGCCGAACTTTGAAGTCCGCGCGGACCTCCGTGAGTACCGGTTTCTGTAGTTCTCAGTCTCTGTATGTTCCCGCCTGCACGCTTCCCGCTCCCTCCTCCACCTCATCCCCGTCTCCCAGTCCTTCCCCTCTTCTTTTCCCTGTTTCCCTTATTCCTACTCCGTCCTCACTCTTCCTCTGGCCACGGGCAGGGTCCTTACTCCACGGCGGCCCATTTGTAGGCCTTGCAGTCGCATCAAAAAATGCGACGTCCAGTTGTTCTACGCGTTCGGCATCTTGAATGAGAGGATTATCAAGTATGGCTACATGACCAGGGCGGCATCAGGAATAGTGGAAAAGGGTGGCTCGCAAAGGGTTCGGCAGGTTGGTGGAGGCATTATATCATTATAACGCCGTGATGGGCACGTGGAAGAGTAATGGGCGGGTTCCCGCTGGGCTCCTAGCACTGAGCGATGCGGAGCCTTGAGCGTGCACTGAAAGGCACGGATCAGTATCGTCTGCACGGATGGGTTTTCCCATGGTCGTGCCATTCATTATTAGTGTATTCAGAAGTAGACTGGGCAAGGTGTGCGCGTCGTCTTCGCTTTGTGCCCAGCGCACTCATTGGGCTGCTAAGCGTGTCATTTCCTGCGCCCGTCATCTTTGATTTCCTTTTTCTTCTTTTCCCATACCAGTTCCTCGCCCTTGCCTGGCCCGTTTTTTGTCATGCTGGTTGAAAGTCTGTGTACCTTCTCCTCGAGAAGGCTGGTCGCGACAAGTGCGGCATCGGCTCAGTTGGCTGATCACCCCGAAGCATTCTGCTAGTTTTAAAGGAGTTCTTGTTCAGGATAACGGGCATTTTGGTCCCCCACCAGGGTGCCAAGATCAGGCAGCCCTAGGATGAGGGCCAATCGATCCAGGGCGTTCCGGAGCGCTCTCAGAGCGATGCGAAGTGCTTTGGAGCGGCCGCGGCGCCCGATTCAAGCCGTTACGCTTCTTGTATCCCCACCAGCCCATCAGGGAAGTGTGGGAATTCGCAGTGACACACAGAGGGGGACAGCCGCCAATCCGAGGATCGAGATCAGCCTGAACATGCCCAGGAATAAACCATACATGCCTCCGCGGATCTATTGATATGGAAGCCTCTTGGCAACTTACTTGGGCCATCTTGGGCCATTTTGGAAGTTTGGGGGGCTTACTTGGGACACTCTTTCGTGGCGCACGCGAGGTGGCAGCCCCCCCCGTCGGAAGCCGAACAATTGCCGCTTGTCGCCCTCTTTCTTGGGGCGCTCGTGGGCGCTATTGGGGCCGTCATTGGCACCTCTCGGTGCTCTCTTGGGCCATTGAAGCCATCGTGAGGCCTGAACAGCCCATCGGACCCTGAAAAGGCGGGACAACAAAACACATGGATATACGTCAGGTTTTGGAAGAACTCCCGGGGGGGGGACGTGGGGAGCTTCCGTGGCCACTTGGAGCCGAATTTCGACGGTAAAGGCGCTCAATTGACGCATAGTGGAGGCCACACTGAGCCATCTTGGGCTACGTATTGCGATCTTGGAGGCCATCTTGGATATACGAGGCCGCATTTGGCCACCTTGGACCCTCTAACCCCTCGTGACTGATCCCGTCCAGACCCAGGGGCAGGGGGAGCGTTGAACCTCTCCCCGAAGGTGAGGGAGGAAGCTGGAACAAACAACTCGCTGAACCGCCTCCGTCCTGGGGGCTGGCGGGGTTCCCGATCCGCGCCCATCCGACTTCACCCTCGTCCTGCAGTCGCCCCCGGTCACCGGGCTCCCCACGCAACTCGGGCCGCTCAGGGCCGAAGGGAAGCTCTGTGATACACCCCACGTGGGGCGACTCGACCTTACCTGGCGGTGTGAAGGCGAGCCGCCCTACGGACAGCCCTTCGCGTGTCGGCGCGGAGTTATCGGGTGCACGGGCGGGGGGCGGCTAGGGCAGCCGTCCAGGGCCGTCGGAGCGAGCGCACCTCGAGCTCTCGTTCCTCCTCCTCCTCCTCCTCCTCCTCCTCCTCCTCCTCCTCCTCCTCCTCCTCCTCCTCCTTCCTCCTCCTCCTCCTACCTCCTCCTCCTCCTCCTCCTCCTCCTCCTCCTCCTCCTCCTCCTCCTCCTCCTCCTCCTCCTCCCTCCTCAATCTACTTCCTCCTCCATCCTCCCTCCTCCCTCTTCCGGGCATCGAGGACGCAGGGCGCTCCCCTGTCATTAGGGGAACGAGGAATGACATGAGCATAAAAAAACTCGGAGGTCCGCGCGGATTTCTCGGATCCGCGCGGATTTCTCGGCTCCGCGCGCCAGGGGCGGCGCCGGAGGGACCGCCAGGGGGCCCCAACGCCGATGCGAGAAGTCCGCGCGGAGCTCCGAGTTTCTATGCTTATGCGATTCTTCGTTCCCCTGATCATGCGGTCTCCTTGGCCCCAAGCTTGTGTGCCTGGTCGAGGATCCCACCACGAGTCGGCGATCGGGGACGCCATGCCCCCCAACCCTGTGGGATTCCCGCGGGGGTGGAGCGGGAAGGAGCGAGGGGCAGAAGGCGGGGGAGGAGAGCGGAGAGGGAGGCGTGGGCCATATCTCCGCCCCAGCAGGAGAACGAGGGGGAGCAGCGGGAGGGGAGGGGGGCGACGACGACGACGCCGACGACGACGACGACGCCCACTCCTCGCCGAGCGGGGCGCCCTCGCCCGCCCCCCCCTCTCCGAGGGGGAGATGGCCGCCACGGGCTCCGACAACGTCCTCTACGTGGCCGCTCCGCCGGACCGTCCCTCTCGCCGCAGATCCAGGCGGCACAAAGCGGTACGACCGAAGTGGATACAGAATCGGGGGAGAAAAAGATACGGATACGTGTTGTCCCCCTTCGTTTTCGGCCTTTCCTGGTCCTCCTGGGGAATCCTCGTTGTCACCGCTGGATTCGCCTCGAAATTCTGGTCAGAACGCACCCCAAGAGAGGTCCGGGGACAACACGTATCCGTATCTTTCCGCCCCCCAGCAGAAGGACCGGCAGCGGTTCCCGGCCACTTTGAGCAGGGAGCGTCGTCGGTGCCGCAGCAAACGTTGTCCATCTGAGGCACAGCGTCGCGTGGCCAGCAGCAGCCGCTGTTGGGTTCGGAGTCCGGGCGCGCCAATCGAACAAATAGTGGCGCCCGTCTGTTTGTAGTTTCGGCCTCAGGGTGCCACTTCCTGGCCCAGGGACCATTAAGAGACAGTTCAGGTTAAGTCGGGCCTGTCCCTCTACAGGAGGAATATTCAAAAATAGTCCCAACATCGTCTGGGGACCATTTTTTGAGTATGTTGGGGCATCTTTTGAATATTTTTTTGTATTTTTTAGTTTCCGTCCAAAATCCCCCCGTAGGGGAAAATGCCCGACCTAACGCTCAGGAGGAAAAGCTGGTGCCCTGGAATTGGTCGGGATCCCCTGGCGTCCACGCCGCGTCGTCGGAGGATAGAGCCACGAGGAACAGTCAGACGCCCGACGATGCGATTTTCTTCCAGTCCTTCCAACTTGGGCCAGTGGATGGGGTCGGAAGATCGTGACTCGGGAGGGGAAAAACACACAGACACAATGAACCGTCGATTTCCCAGAAATATTTGAAAATATGGGGAGCGGGGGGAAGACGAAAACCCAGAAAATATTAGAAAATATAGGGAATCCTTCTATTTGTGTGTATTTACTTGTGTGTCCCAGGGCCCCTTCAGTGACGAATCGCTGATGCATCGGCGATGCGGATCGGTCTGGAGCCCAGTTTGCCCCCCCCCGCGTTGCCCGTTCATTCGTGATGCATCGCCGATTCGGTGCAATCTTCCGATCCCGCATTTGAGAGGTATCCCGTTCTTGTTACCTAACAGCGAAGACTGATAGGTTTCTAGTTGACTCAAAAGAGCTCACAGATCACTCCACAGGGGGGTCCGGGCAGGCGTTGGGAGTTGCCGGCCGGGCCTGTGCCGGGCTCGTTTTTCACCAACAGTCACACACTTCGTGCTCGTCGACCTCTCAGAACCCCATTCCCAGGCCACATTCTGAATAACCGGATGCAACAGTCACACACTTGGTGCTCCTTGACCTCCCAGAACGCCATTCCCGGGCCACATTTTGGATGCCCGGAGCCAACTGTAGGCCACTTCGTGGTCTTCGAGTTCCCAGAACTCCATTCCCGGGCCACATTTTGAATGCCCGGAGCCAACTGTAGGCCACTTCGTGGTCTTCGAGTTCCCAGAACTCCATTCCCGGGCGATTTTGAATGCCCGGAGCCAACTGTAGGCCACTTCGTTTTCTTTCCCGAGCCAACTGTAGGCCACAGTTCCCAGAATCCATTCCTGGGTATGATTTTGAATGCCCGGAGCAAACTGTAGGCCACTTCCTGAGGGGAGGCTGAGGCTGAGGCAGGCTGAAGCTGAGGCTGAGGGCTGAGGCTGATGCAGGCTGAGGCTGAGGCTGAGGCTGAGGCTGAGGCTGAGGCTGATGAGGCTGAGGCTGAGGCTGAGGCAGGCTGAGGCTGAGGCTGAGGCTGAGGCTGAGGCTGAGGCTGAGGCTGAGGCTGAGGCTGAGGCTGAGGCTGAGGCAGGCTGAGGCTGAGGCTGAGGCTGAGGCTGAGGAGGAGGCTGAAGGCTTGAGGCTGAGGCTGAGGCTGAGGCAGGCTGAGGCTGAGGCTGAGGCAGGCTGATGCTGAGGCAGGCTGAGGCTGAGGCTGAGGCTGATGCAGGCTGAGGCTGAGGCAGGCTGAGGCTGAGGCCGAGGCTGAAGGCAGACTGAGGCTGAGGCTGAAGCAGGCTGAGGCTGAGGCTGAGGCAGGCTGAGGCTGAGGCTGAGGCAGGCTGATGCTGAGGCAGGCTGAGGCTGAGGCTGAGGCTGATGCAGGCTGAGGCTGAGGCAGGCTGAGGCTGAGGCCGAGGCTGAAGGCAGACTGAGGCTGAGGCTGAAGCAGGCTGAGGCTGAGGCAGAGGCAGGCTGAGGCTGAGGCTGAGGCAGGCTGATGCTGAGGCAGGCTGAGGCTGAGGCTGAGGCTGATGCAGGCTGAGGCTGAGGCAGGCTGAGGCTGAGGCCGAGGCTGAAGGCAGACTGAGGCTGAGGCTGAAGCAGGCTGAGGCTGAGGCTGAGGCAGGCTGAGGCTGAGGCTGAGGCAGGCTGATGCTGAGGCAGGCTGAGGCTGAGGCTGAGGCTGAGGCAGGCTGAGGCTGAGGCAGGCTGAGGCTGAGGCCGAGGCTGAAGGCAGACTGAGGCTGAGGCTGAAGCAGGCTGAGGCTGAGGCTGAGGCAGGCTGAGGCTGAGGCTGAGGCTGAGGCTGAGGCTGAGGCTGAGGCTGCAGGCTGAGGCTGAGGCAGGCTGAGGCTGAGGCCGAGGCTGAAGGCAGACTGAGGCTGAGGCTGAAGCAGGCTGAGGCTGAGGCTGAGGCAGGCTGAGGCTGAGGCTGAGGCAGGCTGATGCTGAGGCAGGCTGAGGCTGAGGCTGAGGCTGAGCAGGCTGAGGCTGAGGCTGAGGCTGAGGCCGAGGCAGAGGCCGAGGCTGAAGGCAGACTGAGGCTGAGGCTGAAGCAGGCTGAGGCTGAGGCTGAGGCAGGCTGAGGCTGAGGCTGAGGCAGGCTGATGCTGAGGCAGGCTGAGGCTGAGGCTGAGGCTGATGCAGGCTGAGGCTGAGGAGGCTGAGGCCGAGGCTGAAGGCAGACTGAGGCTGAGGCTGAAGCAGGCTGAGGCTGAGGCTGAGGCTGAGGCTGAGGCTGAGGCTGAGGCAGGCTGCTGAGGCAGGCTGAGGCTGAGGCTGAGGCTGATGCAGGCTGAGGCTGAGGCAGGCTGAGGCTGAGGCCGAGGCTGAAGGCAGACTGAGGCTGAGGCTGAAGCAGGCTGAGGCTGAGGCTGAGGCAGGCTGAGGCTGAGGCTGAGGCTGAGGCAGGCTGAGGCTGAGGCTGAGGCTGAGGCTGAGGCTGAGGCTGAGGCTGAGGCTGAGGCTGAGGAGGCTGCAGAGACTGAGGCTGAGGCAGGCTGAGGCTGAGGCTGAGGCAGGCTGACTGAGGCTGAGGCTGATGCTGAGGCAGGCTGAGGCTGAGGCTGAGGCTAATGCAGGCCACTGCGACTGTCATCGCGAATGCGACTACGACTGCGAGAACAGCAGAACTCTACAACTGGATTCTCATCTGAATCTTAAGGGGGATACTTCCAGATTTGCCCCTACACATCGCTGTTAGGTTGCTTTGCCGGGATAATTGTTTCAGTGCGGTTTCCCATCAATATGTTGTCCGGCGTGTTGCTGACCAGTTGCGTGCTCTCATGGACGGCATATCCGCGATACCATGCGACATTAGTGCCGCGATGACCAGTCAACACAGACCGGTCACTAAGCATGTGTTTCTCTGTGCTTTCCCATCGAATGTGCTACACTGGTTTGCGCTCGACCGACGTTCATGGGGGACACTCAGACGTCCTATTGTGAATTGCTCGGGCCCAGAATCCCTGCCCCAGACATCCGAAGGACAATCCATGCGGTTCTGTTCCTCCGCCTGGCCGCCCAGGGGGGTATCTTCTGGAACAGCAACGTCGATCTGTGGGCCGCGGGCTGAAACATGGACGTCGTCGGATGCCTGGGCCTCTCCCCCCGGGGGGGGGGGGGGGGCGGTTTCACGCCCCTGCTCTACACCTTAGGCGATGCTTAAGAAAGCTTGAGTTTTCGGCCAGAGTCTCGATTATTCTTAACGTTCCAATGTAAATCTTAAGATTTTAATAGAACTGCTGGTTTTTTTATCCAAGTTCTGAGACTATGAATTTCTTAACCCATGATTTCTTAAGCATTTCGCAGGGTGTATGTTGTTCGGTGGCCCGGAACCCGGACATGTCTTCCAGGCAGGCCAAATTCGAGCAGAATTTCGAAACGTGTGGCGTAACCCCAGCGGCCCATGCAGAGACGATGCCCAGAGGATTTGCCTCGATCAGGGAAGGGGGCAGCACGCAGATGAAGGGTGCCTCTTGGAGCGCTCTTGGGACACTCTTGGGCGCTTTTGGGGCCGTCTCTTGGGCCTATCTTGCGTGTTGGGGGCCTCTTGGCGGTCCCGGGGGCCTCGTGGAGCGTCTCGGGGAGCTTCTTGAGGCCTCTTGGGGTCTCGCGGGAGCCTCATGGAGGCCTTTTGGGCGCCTCCTGTGGCCTCCTGGGCGTCTCCTGGGGCCCTCTTGGGGCTCTTGGGAGCCTTGGGGGCGCTCTTGGGGCCATCTTGGAGGGCGTCGATCAAACCAGAGGGGAGCATGATTGTGCGTTGCACGAGTTTGCTGTCGTTCTTTGCTTCATAGCCGCCCAACAGCAGCCTTATTCCGACGTTGGTGGGGCTCAAGCGTTCAGCCGGTATTTTTAGCCGCAGTACCCGGCCAGCGCATGTGGGGCCCTAGTGACCTTCTGGGCGGGCCTCTCGGCCCACATGGTGTTCGGGCCGGCGCTGGCTCCTCAGGGCGCTGCCTGGCCGCGGGACGGCCCTGGACACGAGTTTGAGCTCGACGTCTGCGACGCTGACGAGGTCCACGACGGCCAGTCCGGCGCCCGCGTGCCATTGCCTGGCGCCGATGGCGCCAGAGGGGGCCGCCCCGCAGCCGCTGCGGGGCGCCAGAGACGGGCTCGCGGCCATGGTGGAACTGCCCGTGCTGTTGGTCGCCACCAGCGCGGCGCTGGCGGCGGCGGTGGCCTGTGGTGCTGGCTGGGGTTAGCCTCGCGGCGGAGCTCGGCCAGGCTTGCGCTCGAGCCGATCGGCGAGGCGCGCATCCACGTGGCGTGAGGCGCTGGACGATGCCGCGCCGGGTCTACGACTACTGGTGCAGTACAGCGATGACCTGGGGTGGACACACGAGAGGCTGCTGCTGTGGCCAAGCTCGGCCGATATGTCGTCATGGATGCTGTACACAGTGGGGAATGACTTGTATGCAGAGGACCTGGCGGACTACAGTTCGATCGTGAGGTGGACTGGGCGGTGGCGGTATCCCCCGGGGGTCAGGAACGTGGTCGCGTTCAACCGCGAGATGCAGCGTGAAGAGGTGATCGAGGAGAGACGGCGCTGGAGAAAAGCGCTGGCGCCACAGGCTGGTGGGCGCAGGGCGCCGTGGACTGGGCCGGACGTCGCCTGGCGGTGCCGGCTGCCACGGTCGCGAAAGTCCCCCGCGTTCGTCGGCGGGCGCGCGGGAAGCGCGGCGAGGCCCAGACGGAGGGTGCTGCCGGTGCGGGGCCCGCGCTGAGATTGCCCCTAACCGATGGCGTGGTCTCGCCGCATACGCCGCCCGGCGAGCGACCTCCGGGCTGCTGGGCGCTGGCCGCGCTGGAGGGCGGCGAGCACTGTGGCAGCCAGAGCGAGCTCTCGGCGGCGGCGATCCTGCGCGGGCGACGGGCTCCGAAGGGTTGGTGGTGAGTGGGTTCCCATGGGGCGCGTAACTAAGGCGGTTGAGGGCTGGCGAGACGGGATGATCATCGCAGCGGATCGCCTCGGGCCGCCTCGCGCCCGACAGCGAAGTGGGGGCACGCGCGCGCGCCTCCGCCCGCGGCGCCGCGCGCGGCGGGGCCCGCCGCAGATGGCGGCGAGACGCAGGAGGACCTGAGGACGCGTTGGATCGACGTTGACGAGACGGGCTCGAGATGCAAGGAGCGGCGCAAGGTGGTCCAGGAGAGCACGCAGGAGGCGTTCGCCAACGCGAACCCCCGTGGGCCGCCCGCTCGCCTGGAGGTACGTCGCAAGATGTGCCGCCATGGGGGCGCGCCGAAGATATGGTCCCAGGCAGGAGTGGTGCAAGGAGACAGGGATGACGCTCTTCCGTGATGCACAGACGCTCTTCGAGTGCTTGCACTTGGCGGGCGCCTGCGACCAGGCGAACATGGCGGCGCTCGCGTCGCTGGGGGTTGTCGCGAGGAGGTTCCTGCAGTACGCGGAGGCCTGCGCGCGCGGGGCCGACCGGGCGAACTGGGGCGCGTCGAAGCACCCTTCCGGGACGTCGAACCCGCTCGACTTGGTGCCAGAAGCATGTCGCAGCGACGCGAGCCGCCTGAGCAAGGAGGAGCACGAGTTGGAGGCGCTGCAGCTCGCGCCAAGGCGCCTGGCGCGACGCCGGGCAACGGCGCGCGGGCTGCGGCTGCTGCAGGCGGCGGCGGGCCGCCGTCGGCTGAGGGCTCCCCGGGTGGCGATGGAGGCGGCGACGATGGAGACGAAGGCCGCGGCGGCGGCCGCGGGCGCGGGCGAGGCGGGCGGGGCCGCGGGCCTCGCCCGTTGGCCACGTGGCGCGCCTGGCCGATGGGGACGGGTGCCCGACCGTTCCACGCGGATCCGAGGGCGAACGGGGGCTGCAGGTATCGCTTTTCTTGTCTGTGGCCCCGCTGGCCGAGCTGCCTGGCGAGCGGCGCGAGGGCCTCGCTGCGGGCCGGCGCCGCAGGTGGTTTCGCGACGGCAATGCGGCCCGCGAGATATTACTTGCACGGGGGCGCCCACCGAGCTGGCCGTTCGCTTCAGAACTGCGTCAGTCAGCTCAAGATTGATGCTATTTCGCCGGACGTGCACCAGCGCGTTTTCTCGGCGGCCGTCTCGGATGGGGGGCCCTCGCCAGGCTTCGCTGGGGCATGGCAGGGCACGCTTCGCTCGGCTCAACCAGCATGGGCCCCTACGAGTCTTGAAGGGTCAGCTTGCCAGAGAGCGCGGTCGACGCCCCCAGCCTGGCCACGATGCCACCCGCGCAGGCGAGGCTCTATCTCGGTGATTTTTGCGACCAGGATGCTGCTGCCTCCTCGGGAGGCGGCAAGAATGCGAGAACTCTTCGAGCTCCCGGGTTATCGCGCCGATCCTCAGCTGCTTAAACGGTCGCGGAGCTATGGGAAGTTCGCGCGGCGCGCGCTTTCGATCGGCCCAGCCAGCCTGACCTGCCGACCTTTGAGTGCGCTGTTGTGGTTTTCTTCGAGGAAGAAGGATGGGGCTCGCGTTCGCCCCGTCGCGGACTGCAGACGGAGCAGCGCCTTGTTCCGCCCCCGCCCCCCCCCCCCCCCTCCCGGCGTGGATCTCGTCGCAAGGTCGCAGGCTGGCAGCTGGAGATGGCGCTGAGCCGCGTGGCTTTCATGGCCCCGGTTCGCCGCGAGGTGTTGCCAGCGTTGCGTGGCGTCTATGCTTTTATGTCGCAGAGTTACCGCGCCTACTCCGTGCTGTGGCCTACAGTGAGGGCTGAGATGAAGTGCTTCCTGGGCATCGCGGTGACGCCGGAGTCGAGCTGGACCAGGCCCTGGGCCCCAGTCGCCCACTCCTCCGACGCGAGCTTGTGCGGCGACGGCGTCGCAGAAGCCTGCTTTGACTCGGAGGCGGCGGCCAGGGTCGGCAGCATTTCCGAGCTGTCGCGGCGGCGCCTGGGTGCCGAGCTGGCCCGGCAGAGTGTCTTCGAGTGCGCTGGCTTCCTGATGGACAGCGAGGCGGGGCAGGTGGTCCGGGGCGCTGGCGGGGCGCCGTGCCAGGTCGACGCCGAGCCGCGGCGCGTGCTGGACAGCGAGCGCTGGGAGGCAGACCCACGCGCCCCCGAGGTGCCCAGCCATCTTGCATGGCTCCTACTGGGCCACGGTGAAGGCCGACCGATGGGTTTTTGAGGGCGAGATCCCTAGACTTGAGGCAGTCACGGGCGCTCGTGAAGGTTGCGTCGCGTGTTGCGCGGTTTCAGCCAGTAGAAGAATTCCGCGTCCTCTTTTCTAGGTGACAATCTCAGTTGTGCTTTGTTTTTGCCGTTTCGGCTTCTAATGCAGGCCCGTCGCTTCCTAGAGATCAAATTCGTTGTTCGATGGGCCCCAAGCGAGTTCAAGTCTGGAGACAATGGAAGCCGGATATTCGATCCAGTATGCGACAGCAGCAGGACCTTCGCGCCCTTGCTAAAAACGCTTCCGCCCCAGGTTGATCCAGGCTTTGTTCGTGCTCCCCTGGCGGCCGACAGCGCAGCGTGGGGGCGGGCGGCATCGAACGCTCAACAGGCGCGCGGTGCCGGTGGCCTCGGCGCCGAGCGAGCCGAGCAGGCGTCGCGCGAGGGCGTTGAGTGCTGGGGCAGAGCGACGAGAGGCGGCAGAGGCGCCGCCGACTCGGAGGGCGCGGGCGCTGGATCGCAGCCGTGGGCTTGCAGCCAGGCTGGTGGCACCGAAGTCAGCGCTGATTCCGCATCTGGGAACGGCGGGGATCCTCCTGGAAGCGGATCGCCGCAAAGTTCCAGCTGTCACCGCGGGCGCCATAGGCCGAGAGGCCGACGCGGGCGTGGCGAAGTGCCAGAGCGAGGACAGCAGCGACGCGGGGGAGTCCGCCGCCGCTGCCAGCTGCTGGAGGCGCCTCCAAACTCGGGGCAAGGCCCGGGTCAGGAAGGCGCTCGACGTCTTGGAGGGCGCCTCGGCTGTCGCCGGGAAGGAGAAGCTGGGGGCCAGCCATCTCGAGAGGCGCTCCGTGGGCGAAGCCACGCTCGAGACCCACCGCCAGTGCGTGCTCGCATTTTGAGTCTGGGCCCGCTGCTCGCTGGATGCGCTGCCAGCGCCGGCCGAGGTTGATGTGCGCATAGTAGATAACATGAGCGGCGAGTTCCTGATGGGGGTCAAGGCCTTGCGCAGGAAGAAGTCGTTTGCTGGGCTGACGTCTGTTCCATCCAGGCTACGGCCGCCTGGGTGGCCTGCGTCTACCCCGATCTTCGCGGTGCCTGAAGGAATGGAAGAAGCTGTCACCATCTCGCTCTCGGAAGCCCTTGGTGTTCGCGATCTGGGCGGATGGCAGTGGAGCCATGCCGTGGTGGAGTGCTATCTTCTCCCCAGGGAGATGCTGGGGGCGACTGGCAATTTGTTCTGGCCCCAAGCGAACGCGCAGTTCAGGACTGGGTCGCATTGCTCTTTCCAGAAGCGGGGGTGGCCTGAAGAGGTGGGATCGGCAGACGATACGATCACGTGCGATTCGGGACGGCGCCCTTGGATGAGCCACATTTTCTGCGCGCTGAAGGACTAGGGCTCCTCCAGGCCCCCCCCCTGGGCTTGAGCTGCCCGCAGTTCCTGGGCCTCTTCTGGTGAGCAGCTTTGAATATCGGAGCCGGCGTCGTCCATTATCTAGGCCGGCGCAGCGGGGCATCGCTGGATCTGGCAACGTGGCGACGCTCGCAGGAGGAGGTCCAGAAAAGGGGAAGGCGGGCCGCACTGACGTCGGTCTCCCTTGGGTAGTTGTTTGGCCACTTGGGGCCGTCTTGGAGCGTCTTCGGTACCTCGGGGAGCTTCTTGGGCCTCTTGGGGTCTTTTGGTTGCCTCTTGGAGGCCCTTTGGGCGCCTCCTGGGGCCTCCTGGGCGCCTCTTGGGGCCCTCTTGACGCGCTCTTGGGAGCCTTGGGGGCGCTCTTGGGGCCATCTTGGAGGACATCGATCAAACAAGAGGAGAGCTTCATTTAGGTATGACCCCAGGGGGCCAAAATTGGAGAAGGATGCCCTAGCAAAGCACCCTGATTAGCAGCAAATATGAAGGGGCGGGTCGAGGAGTAGGAGAAGCACGGCCAGGAAGGACAGGGGCCAGAGCACAGGCATGCCTTCCGTGGTGCTTGTTCTCCCGCTGTTTGCGGCAGCTCCCGCCACGGTGCCTTTGCAACAGCGCTACAAGAATGAGACCGAGCGTCGGAACAGCACAATTCCGATAGGTAGCATGGTAATGACGGGTCGTGGATTCGACCTCGTCTTCGCCCGCGCAGTGGGAAGGAGATCAAGTTTGCCTCCCGCGGCAGTTCAGCAAGTGGTCGTCCCGACATTGTCTTTGTCCGCGCGGTAGGGTCGAGGAGGCGGAAGAGGAGGAGGGAGAGGAGGAGGAGGAGGAGGAGGAGGAGGAGGAAGAGGAAGAGCACGAAGAAGAGAAAACCTTTTGGGGCCCCCTTGGGGAAAGCGCGCCACTGGGTGCCCCTGTAATTCTAAAGGGGTCTTGTGCTAACGGACCCCCCCCCTCCCGCATTTCAAGGGGGGGGGCGTTTCAAACGGGGGGTGGGGGGTTCGGGGCCCCCCTCCTCCCCCCTTTGCGCCCGAAAGGGGGGAGGCATTTCGGACCCCCCCCCCGGGTGCAAAGGCGGGGGGGTAGACCCCCCCACCCCCTGCGCCGGACAGGGGGGCGGGGGGAGCGCCTCACGCTCCCCTGTGCTGCGCCGGAGATCGTGGGGGTCAGGGGTATCGGGGCCTAAGAGACGGGGGTCAGTGCAAACGGGGGTCAGCCAGGGCACCGGATCCTGCGAAGACCCCCTCTGGCTGACCCGGGTTAGCGAGCCGCTCGTGGCCGCGAGGCGGCCGCGCAAATTGGCCGACCCGGGTTTGTGAAGGGCTGCATTGCAGTTTTTTGTCCTGCATTTCAGATGTTTGGTTTCCTGCGGACCCGAGTCTGGATTGACCCGGATCAGAAGATCCCCGAGGTTAGGGTGGTCCGGTTGGGACGAAGGGGTTAGGATCAGGGTGTTAGGGTCAGGGCGTTAGGGTTAGGGGGTTACGGCTAGGGTTAGGGGGTTTAGGGACAGGGTTGGGTGTAGGGTTAGGGTGTTAGGGTTAGGGTTAGGGGACTCGGATTGGGGTGTTCGGGTTAGGATTCGGGTTTTAGGGGGGTACGGTTTGGGTGGTAGGGTTCATATTCGTGTGATAGGGATAGCGTCAGGGGGTTAGGGTGGTAGTGTTCAGGTTCGGGTTAGGGTTAGGGTGTTAGGAATAGGGTTAGGGGGGGAGGGGGCTAGGGTGGTAGGTTAGGGTTCGGGTCAGGGTGTTAGGATTATAGGGTTGGGGTTAGGGTTAAGGGTTCAGGATTAGGGTGGTAGGGTTGGGGTTCGAGTTATGGGATTAGGGTTAGGATGGTAGGGTTAGGGTTATGATGTTAGGGTCAGTGTCATGGGGGTTCGGGTTAGGGTGGTAGGGTTAGGGTTACGGTGCTCGGGTAGGGATTAGGGTCAGTGGGTTCGGGTTAAAGGGATCGGGTTAGGGTTAGGGTTAGGATTAGGCGGTTAGGGTTCGGGGGTAAGGGGGTTTATAAGGGGTTAGGGCAAGGATGGTAGGATTAGGGTTCGGATTGTGTCCAAGGTTAGGAATATGGGATTAGGGTTAGGGTGCTAGGGGTAGGAATTGTGACGTAGCGGGTTCGGGTTAGGGTAGTAGGGTTAGGTTTAGGAATAGAATGAGGCTTGTAGGGGATTAGGGGTTTGCGGTTAGGGTTTCGGGATAAAGGGGTTAGGGGTTAGTTGTCAGAGGTTCGGGGTTAGAGCTTAGGGTTAGGTAGGATTAGAGTCCGGATAAGGGTTTAGGATTAGGGTCAGGGTTAGGGTAAGGGTGAGGGTTAGGAATATGGATCGGGTTAGGGGGGTGGGGAAGAAGATGTAAGGCTAGGGGGCAAGGGTCAGGGTTCGAGTGGTTAGTTTCGGGCGTTAGGGTTAGTGTTAGGGTGTTAGGATTATGGCGTTAGGGTTAGGGTAGAACGGTTGGGGTTCGGGGTTTACGGCAAGGGTGGTAGTGTTAGGGCTAGGTTGTTCAGGCTAGGTTTAGGGTAGGAGTTTAGGGTTAGGGTGGTAGGGTGGGGATTCGGGTTAGCGTTCAGGTGATAGAGTTCGGGCTCGAGGATTAGGGTTAGGGTGGCAGTTTTAGGGGGATAGGGTTAGGGTTAGGGTCAGGGTATTATGCTTAGGGTAGTCGGGTTAGGGTTGGGAGGGTTGGGTGGGGGCCAAGTTTAGGAGGTTGGGATTAGGCTGCTCGGGTTAGGGTTCGGGTTTTTCCCCAATCAGAGCTTGCCTCTGTAGGGGTCCTAGCGGAGTTAAGGGTAGGTGAGGTGCGCCGCCGATTCGGTGGCCGGGCCCGGGTGCCCGGGTGCCCCGGTGCCCGGGTGCCCGGGTTCGCCGCCGACGGTGGCCGGGCCCGGGTGCCCGGGTGCCCGGGTGCCCGCGTGACGGGTGCCCGGTGCCCGGGTGGGTGCCCGAGTGCCGGGTGCCCGTGTGCCCGGTGCCTTGTAGCCCTATAGCCCTATAGCCCTATATCCCTATCGCCCTATAGCCCTATAGCCCTATAGCCCTATGACCCATATAGCCATATAGCCCATATAGCGCCCAAGAGCCCATATAGCCCTGTAGCCCTATAGCCCTACAGCCCTAAAAAGATTATGATTGGGCTTTTTCTCTGGTATCATGAAGTTAGGGTTTGGGTGGTAGGGTTCAGGTTAGGGTGATAAGGATAGCGTCAGGGGGTTAGGGCCAGGTTGGTAGGATTAGGGTTAGGGCGTTAAGTTTAGGGGGTTCGGGGGTTCGGGTTAGGGTTGTTGTTGTTGTTGTTGTTGTTGGTGGTGGTGGTGGTGGTGGTGGTGTTGATGTTGTTGCTGTTGGTGGTGGTGGTGTTGGTGGTGTTGGTGTTGTTGTGTTGTTTCTTGGGGTGGGGAGGTAGGGGCTGTGTCAGGTTTAGGTGTAAGGGGTTGGGATGAAGGTAATATGGTTTGGGGTAGGGTTCGGATTCGGGTTAGGGGGTTAGGTTCGGGTGTTAGGGTTAGTGTCGTGGGGTTCGGATTAGGGTGGTAGGGGTAGGATTAGGGTGTTAGGGTTGGGGCTAGGTGTTGGGGGTGAGGGTTAGGGGGGTCGGGTTAGGATAATTGTTCGAATTCAGCGGTCAGGGTTCGGTTTCGGGGATTAGGGGGATTAGGGGAATTTGGGGTTCAGGATTGGGATGATAGGATTTGGGATCGGGTTAGGTCTAAAGTTAGGGGTTAGGGGTTAGGGGTAGGGTGTTACGGTTATGGATAAGGAGTAAGGGAGCTCGTGTTAGGGCAGTAGGGTTAGGTTTGGATTCACGGTGAAGGTTACAGGGGGATTAGGGGATAGGGGTTAGAAGATAAGGGTTAGGGGTTAGAGCTTAGGGTTAGGGTTAGAGTTCGGTGTTGGGTGAGGGTAGGGTTAGGATTAGGGATAGGGTGAGGGTGAGGGGAAGGGTCTGGATGAGGGTCAGTGTGAGTTTTAGGAATAGGGGGTTCAGGTGAAGGGGTTGGTGTTCGGGTGAGGGGTTTGGGGTTTGTGATCCGGGTTAGGGTTAGGGGGGTCGAGTTAGGAGGTAGACGTCCGGAGCTAGGGGCTAGGGTTTCGGAGAAAAGAGTGGGAGGCCCTCCCCCCCTTTACTCCGAAACCCTAGCCCTCCCCGGGAGGGGGGGATGTCCGAATTTCGAATCCAGAGGGGAGGGAGGGGGAGGGGCCGAACCTCCCCCCTCCCCTGGGGTGTAGGGAGAGGGGGGAGGTTTGCCGACGACGGATTGGGAAAGGGGGGAGGGGGATCCGCCGACGACGGGCCAGGGAGAGGAGCGGAGGGGGGGTCCCTCCACCTCCTCCTCCTCCTCCTCCTCGAGACCCCCCCCCTTGTGGGGCATCCCTTAGTGAACCTCTCCCATGGGGGGGGGTCCCTCCTCCCATGGAGGGAGGGATCTGCAACCTCTCACTTCGAGCCCTTCTTCGTCAATTGGAGGAGGGGCCCAACGGCAGGCAGCCGTTGGGTATCCTCTTGGCAACGGCAGCAGGAGCAGCTTGGCCACGGGAACGCAGGTCGGAGAAATCTAAGTTGCCTACATCTCAGACCTGTGCTCGATGTCGAAGAAAGAATTCTCGTTCCACCGTGTTTGGAGTTGCTTGAAGTGTTCTGATCATGATATTTGCAGACTTTCGGATGAGTATGTCGCGAGGGCCCACACGCAGCATGAGGTTGAGCCATGTTTCTGGCACCGAGGCCTTCTGCCGCAGTCTTGGGTAGCCGCCCCGCCCCCGCAAGAAGAGGCTGTTTGGTGGAGCGAGGGCGTCGGAGCGTTTGAAGATAACTGCTTCGGTCGGGACTCCGCGTTGCCCCCCGTTTGCGTTTTCGGGGATGCCAGCAGGGGCGAAGATAACAGTGACCCTCGGTCCGTAGAGTTGGATGCGGCATAGCACATGTTTTTATTTCCGAGAATATGCAGCTAGTTGTTTCTGTGTGGGGGCGCTTCCCTGGACCCCAACAGACATCAGCCAGGGGTGAGTTTTACAGTTTCCTGTCAGCGTTGATCGGCACCGACGGAGTAGTGATATACACCACTGATAATTCCAGTGTGTGTTCTGGGTGGTTTTGTAGCCGAGCTTTCGCCCCTGATGGGGAGAACGCGGATTTGTGGCACCAGGTAGGTCAGGTTCTCAAGAGAAAGCCAGATATGTGTTGCACGGTCTTTGTTCATTCCCATCAAGAAGCTCGGGATGTCGTCCAGGGTGAAGCTCCTTTGTATTTGACTGTGGGGAACGCGGCCGCAGATGAGCTGGCCGAAGCCGCTGCCAGAGCGGTGCGCACCCCTGCTTACATCAGGACTAAGGTTTTCACGAACAAGACCATGGTTTTCGCTGTCCGCATGCGAATGTTGCTTGCCACCTTGGAAACTTGAAAAGCCGAACAGGCCCTGGCGGCCGAGGAGCCCCGAGGAACCCGAGTCAGGAATCGTGGGCCCAGGTCACCCGCGCCTGTGGTGTGCAACGAGTATTCGACCCTAAATACGTTGTTTGAAAACGGGCTCTCTTGTTTGAAGTGTAGGAGCACGACGACCCAATCTAGGCGAAAGATTTGGTCGGATACCCCGTGCTTTGACCTGAGGGCTATAGATGGCGTAATTTTCAGGCCGCCCCCCTGTTGCAGGGTGCCCATCTGTGGGGGGTGGGCTGATGAATCTCACACGTTACAGTTTCACGCTGGGTTGGGGATTTGGTTCTGTGGCACCTGTGGATGTTCTCCGGCCCAACAGTTGGCCCAACTCGTAAGGAAGTGCGATGGCAGACTTGCAGGTCATCGCGCTGATTATCTGACGAACATCGTCTGACGAATGTCGAACGGGGGGTGTGGCCTAAAGCTTACATAAAGCTGGCAAGGCCAGAAGAGCGGTTCGTGCTTTGTAAGTCAATACGTAATCGACACGGTCGCAATATCCGGAACTCCGTAACTCCTCTTATTCCTCCTCCTCCTCCTTCTCGAGACCCCCCCCTCCTTTTCGGGGCATCCAGCGGCGCCCCCCCTCTTGGGGCCTCCTGGGGTCTCCTGGGAGCGTCCTGGAGGGCCTGTTGGGGGCCTTTCGGGGGGGGGATCCTGGGACTTCTCGGGGGCCTACTGGGATCGGAGGTTGATAGACCTCCTGCCCTGACGCGTAGATTCAGGAATTGGCCGTTTTCGGTTCGCGAGAGGCCGTCGCGGCCGTCATTTTTGCGGGTCCAGGTCCGTTGGTTTCGGTCCTAGGCCGTTTTCCCTAAGGGGAGGTTTACTAAAGGGAGGTTTGTCCACCGCCGATGGAAGCCTCCTGGGTAGTCTTAGGGAGGCGATTGGCCCGTCTGACGCTTTTGGAGGCCGTCTCGGGGGCCTCTCTGGGCCGCCCCCGTTCACTCTTGGAGCACTTCAGGGCCGTCTTGAAGCCATGTTGGGATCCTCTTGGGCGACCTTGGCGTCCTTTGGGGTCGACTTGGGGCCCTTTTGGGGGCCCCACAGGCTGTGTGGGAGCTATCTTGGATGCGTCTTGGGCGGTCGGAAGCCCAAACAGGCGATAACCTTAAAAACCGACCTCCCCAGGAAAATCTGGATGGCCTCTTGGAGCCGTCTTTGGCCGTTTTGGGAGCCCCTTGAGTTATCTCGAGGCCGTCTTGGGAGCCTCTTGAACTGTCTTGGGCCATATTTGGCCATCTTGGGTCATCTCGGGCCGTCTTGGAGAGGGCATCTTGCACGTTCGGAGGCCGAAGCGAGCACGGGATCGCAATGCCAATAGGGGTCTGCAGACCCCGCGCGTAGCAGGGCGGAGCGGCCCCAGAAGGCTGCAGCAACCTGCCAGACCGTAGCAGGCACTCTGACACGTCCGCTCCGTGCCGGCACGGTGGGGGGACACAGGGTCGTGGTCGTCCAGACCATTATGCAGCCGGCACTGAGGCGACAGCACGGTGTTTGGATACGTCTCACGCGAAACGGCTGCCATTCCTGACGTCTTCAGGCTCCCCGTTCCCCTTTTGCGGGGCTCTTCCGGTTGTCGTTGTTCGACTATTTGAATCTGTTGGGCGAAACGCCTCAAGGGAAGAGTTCTTCCGATGTCCATGAAGGGGTGTTCAGGGAACGGGGCCCAGTGTTGTAGGGGCCCTCGCCATGGGCCCCCATGACCTGGACCCGTGGCTGTCCAAAAAGATGGGATGGCGAATTTGCCACGGGAGAAACTGGACCCGCTTCCCCGCATGTCAGTGGATGCCAACGGAGAATGTAGGAGGTATGATGACGGATGGGAGCGAGTGAGGGAGGAGGAGGAGGAGGAGGAGGAGGAGGAGGAGGAGGAGGAGGCCACAGGGTTGGTGGCAGGAGGGCGGGGAGGAGGCCAGAACTCGAGGAGTTCTGATTTGACGATTGATCCAAAGAGTATTGGTCTACCAATGGATGAGATTGACACGGAGAGGAGGCGACAGGAACGCGAATTACCAAAAACAAGCGGTTGTTACTTCTTCTGCGTATCGTCTAATTAGTTTATTTCTTTCGGTTTGTTCAACGCGCGCTCTCAAATATGTCGATCATATCGGCGAAGGTGTTGCTGATTCACCTGATCTTGTGTATTGTGTTGCTGAGCAACCTGGCACTACCGCCCTCTATTGTCTGCTGTCTCTGGTAAGTGCGTGTCAGCAGCTGCGATGTGGCAATGTGCATGTTGCAGTACCGCCTTGCAGCGGAGGGATGTGTAGACGAAAGGTAGGGGTTCATGTAAGGATGTTAGACTTCATGCTGAGTGAAGTGAGTGTGTCTCGCTCTGTCGTCCAATCCATAAGGGATGTCGAAGCCAATGTTGAATGGAGGATGACGTCGAATACGACGACCACCTTTGTGTGTGGAGACAGCGATGTAGATAGCCAGCAAGCAGCGGGCGGAACGACGGGATGAGGGCGATGTGGACGAGGGCCCGCGACAACAAGGAAGGCGCGAGAGGCAAGAGAAGACGTGGCAGGGATGTGGAAGGTTAGAGAGCTGGGGGCGGGTGGGAGGAGCGTGAGGAGGAGGAGGAAGAGGAGGACAGGGGGGAGGCAGAAGAGGAGGAGGAGGGGGAGGTGTAGGGGGGGGGGGAAAGGGAGGAGGGGAGGCATGTTTTCCCCGTTAATGGGACGGCCCGTGGGCGGAGCTCGGGCCTTTGGACCCTAGAGACGATCGGAGCTGCACGCGCTCTGAATAACAGACTGCCAATTGTGAGTTGATGTTCCTTGACGTGGGCCATGGTTCGTACAGCCCCTCCGGAAGGAGGGAGGGGGCCACGAGGAAGGAGGAACGGTGGAAGCAGGGGAGGAAGGAAGGAGGGAGGGGGAGGGGGAGGAAGGGGGAGGAGAAGGGGGAGGGGGAGGAGAAGGGGGAGGGGGAGGGGGAGGAGAAGGGGGAGGAAGGAGGAAGGGGGAGGAGACGGGGGAGGAACGACGGAGCAGCCACGAAGGGAGTCGTTTCTTATCGTCCCATCCGCCCTCTTTTTTACACATCCACTCGCGCGACGCCGCGCACGTTTTGCCTCGGATAGTCTGTGAGGACCCACTTGCTTGGATCGAACGTTTGCCTCGGATAGGTTGTGAGGACCCACTTGCTTGGATCGAACGTTTGCCTCGGATAGTTTGTGAGGACCCACTTGCTTGGATCGAACGTTTGCCTCGGATAGTTTGTGAGGACCCACTTGCTTGGATCGAACGTTTGCCTCGGATAGTTTGTGAGGACCCACTTGCTTGGATCGAACGTTTGCCTCGGATAGTTTGTGAGGACCCACTTGCTTGGATCGAACGTTTGCCTCGGATAGTTTGTGAGGACCCACTTGCTTGGATCGAACGGGGCGCTCGCCATGTGCAGCGCGCACGCATCTCTCAAATCTCGATATCTGCTTGCTGGAATATTGCCGCCATGTCGCACAGCATCGTTCAGGGACCATCCATCCACAGGGTTCATGAGAGGAGATCCCCTGAATTAAGAGATGAGAGGAAGGATTCGCTCGATCGCCATGGAGTGCAGACTACATGGCGAGATATGGAGTATGAGCAGATACATGTATGGTGGATAGAGACACTCACGATGTGCGCCCTGGCGATCACAGGAACTGCGACGAGACGAATCGAGGCGCATGTGGTGATTCTCAAATGCAAGAAGAAACTTTAAAATGTCCCATCGAAAAGGCCCTAAGCGGGGGAGTTGTCCCAGATGTGAACTATATGTGACCGCCAGGAAGGATAGCAAGGCCCACGACCCTGAGAAGACCTTGGATGTCTGGGGAGAGTCTCTTCACCATTCTGAACAAGGATTGGGCATGTCCATCATGTCCAGACATGCCGGGCGAACCCAACAAACATTGCACCTGGTAATCAAAATTAATCGTTCGTACGAAGGGTGACGCTTTGTCGTCAGGAGACGGTATGATTGCCTCACCTGGAGTTTGCGTCATAGCGCATGGGACCAACCTTGAGACGCACCCTGATATTGAAACCGAGGATGCGATGACCGAAATCATAGAGGTAGGATTTGACGGTCCAGTATTTGACGGTCCAGATCAGTCACCCAGCGGAAACCCTCCAACGAGCGTGGGTAACAGTAGTATTTCCGACGGCTCTGCGCCGCTTCCTACCAATACTGTTCGAGGGGGACGGCCCCAAGGAAGAAACGTGGGTCTCGTAATGCGAGGCCACACCTGCCGTCCACACTTGCGAGATCTCAAGTAGGGGACAGAGGCACCTCGCGTCGGCCCTGAGCTCTGGGACGGAATTGCTATGGAGGAGTGACAGGTCTACTTCTGCGAGGGAAGGAATCAGGATGATGCAGTTGACCACAACGTCGGATGTCACTTGAAGGGACTGGAGCCAGACGGACCAATATGCCGCCGTTGCTGAGAACCGTTGCTCTGGGCAGTCGGGGAAATTCCAAAAGCTCGTGTTGAATGCATGCTCAGGAACGTGCGGAAAGTGCAACATCAATTTCCGATGCGGAAAATGCAGTGAGCAAGCGGCACACAATTTTCTCGCAATGAGGCCAGCCGTATGGGAAGTTGCCCACCAAACAGAGGCAGTATGCGCCGTGGCTCGGATGCAAGAACAGCTCGAAGGACAGATCCGCCAGACGCAGTTAAATCGGAACGACACTGCGCGGAAGAAGGCAAGGCCAGATTCGACTTGGGGGCATCCGAAGAAAGAGTCGAAGCTGCAGCAGTGCAAGATATGTAAGCTCGCGTGGATGCTGGGCGTCGTCTGAGGGGCGCCAGGAATATTGCGATGGCCTTTCGAACTTTGGGAGCCGAAGACGCTTTCCGCATCGCCGAGGCCGCAATCGCCAAATGTCGCGCAGTAGAGATGGCCGAGGCCAGGGGAACGCGCGAAACACCTCAGGCGGGAGCACGCGTTCAGGATTCAGCACGAGTTCTTTACCGTGCGCTTGGGCGAGGAAGAGATTCAAAGGCAGAGGAAACGATCGTTGCTCTAAGACCGCAGTGGCCTCGCGCCGAGAACGCCAACCTAACAAGGAAGGCTCAGCGACGGCTGCAATCGTTCAGCAAGCGGGCGCTCGGACCGCCGCGAGCGGTGGAGAGGCCGCCGCGGGAGCAGCGCAAGGCCAACTGGCAAATTGCCCCCTGCCGCTGCCTCGCGCGAGGCGGCGCGCCGACAGCACGGCGCAGCGCAGCTCGCGCTGCAGGGGCCACTGCGACGCTGGAGTCCGCAATTGAATGTCATGCGCGAGCAAAGCTTGGCATCGCTCGGACGTGTGCATCTTTCCTTCGGCGAGGACAATCGAGGAGCATCCTTGATCACTTGGCGAAACAACCATGCACGAAACCGAAGAAAGCACAGGGAATGGACGTCCGAGCGATGGCGGGAAAGAGGTCGAGACATAAACAAGGGCCATGAAGGAAGTCGCGGGGAAGCAGAGCTCCGTCGCATGAGGGCGATGGGAGACGGAGGTCACGGAAGGTCTGATCAGGCTGGGCGTAGAGCCGTGGTGACAGAAAAACGACATGCATCGGAATTGAAGGCTAAGTTTGAGGTGTTGACTAATTTTCTGTTGTCAATCAGAGCAGGGTTCGAAACGCAGGAGAGTTTTGCACTTGATGTTGATCGCAGGGCAGAAGCGAGGGCCGAACTTGACAGAGAGGAAGGAGGTGATCGAACGGCAAAAGAAGCGCCACGAAGAGCGGGCTAAACGCAAGGCCGACGATCGGCTCGAAATGGCGCAGGTTGAGGTTCGATCTCCGGCAGGAAAACCACGGAATTTTCAGGCCAGGGCCTAGGCTGCCGCAGCGCTGGGCGTCCAAGACGAATTCCCAGATGAGCTGCTACCCGACGAGGATGAACGAGGGATTGGTCCGCGCGGAGAAGCTGCGCTGGTCGTTGCTGTGGAGGCGGCGGGTCCCAGCGGCGACCCTGACGACGAGGGCGGCGGGGCTTGCGGTTTGCACCGGGAGGACACGTGCCCCCCCCTGGTCGGGCATCCAAGTGCAGCGTGGAGAGGCAAAGAGGGAACCCTGGACCAGACGGTCCGTGGGGGTGGAGAGCCAGAGCGGGGATGGGGGAAGAGGGGATGTGATTCAGGAGAGGAACAAAACACGCAGACACAACGAATCGTCGATTCCCAAGAAACTATTGGGAAATATGCGAATCGGGGGGAAGACGACAACCCAGAACATGTGAGAATGTATGGGGAATCTTGTTATTTGTGTATAGTTATTTGTGTGTCCCAGGGCCTCTTTAATGATGGGAAGCGTGCGTGGGTGCGGATGGGAAGTGCGCGGGTGTGTGGAGGCTGCTTGGGCCGTCATGGACACTCACGGATGGGAAAAGACGAGAACGTTAAATTTGTCTAAAACTTAGTGAGAAAACAATAAGTATGGCTTCTGGGAGCGCTGTTGGGGGTCCTCTTAGGGCCCTCTCGTGCCTTCTTGAGAGCCTGTTGGGCACTCTTGGGGCCAGCTTGGATTGTCTTGGGGTCGTTTTGACCCGACTTGGGGCCATCTTGAGCCGTCTTGACGCACTCTTGGACCCCAAAGAGGCTGCAGGGGCCCACATGATTGATTTTCTATCGGTTCTTGCAGGCTTCGAAGCCGAAAAAGGGGTCCGTCACGCTTGGGTCGACGGAAGTGGCGCGACTCCAGGGGGGGGTTAGGGGGGGAGACATAGTATTGCAAAACAGTGCAATAGGTAGATTTGTGCAGTCATTGAGTACAATGGATCCATTGCACTACAGAATCTGCGGACCTGCCTCTGGAAACGCGTCTCTTCCGGACGTGGATTCAACTGGCTTCGCCACATCCGCCGACCCCGTGTCTATTTATGAGGCCAGAGGGAGGGCGATGACGACGTTCGACTGGTGCCCTACGTTCGGTCGTGAACGCGACCGTGGATCAGTTCGGCGCTCCCTCTGCGTATCTAATAATCGAATGGCTTCGGCCCATCCATCCACTGTGCCTGGGTTGTGGGTATGCACCCTATGGGATGTTCGCAGGGATCTCGTGGGAGGCCTCTCGGGGGTCTGTTGGATCAGTTTCGAGGTTTCCTAGCCCTCTTGGAGGCTTCGTGAGCTCTTGGGGTGGTCTTGGGGGCCTCTCGGGCCGTCATGGAGCGTCGAAAAACAACAAGTGCGAAAACGTTTCAATCCTCCCATTACCTACTTTGCCTCTTGGGGCCCTCGGGAGCCTCTTGGAGGCCTCTTGGGGTGTTTTGGAGGCATCTCGGGCTATCTTGAAGCCATTTTGGGCGTCTTGGAACGATCTCTCGGCGACTCGGGGCCCTCTTTGACCGTCTTGGGGGCCTCGTGGGAGGCCTCAGGGGCTGTGTTTGGGCTCCACAGGGGGCCCGGGGAGGTTCAGACCCCCCGTGGTGAGTTCGGTCGGGGGTCGGCGTAATGAGGCGGGGGAAAGGGCGTCAACTTTCCGGTCTGGGGTCTTGGGGGGGTGGTTCGCAGGGGGAGAATCTCACACGCTTGGAAACCCAGAGGGGCCGGCGGAGTAAAACAATTATTGTTGATGTCCTGTTGCGTCCTATGGGTGGAGGGAACCGTCGTGTTCGTGGTGGTGGCGGTGGTGATTGTGCGGCAGTGGTGTTTGGGGCTCCTCTGATTGCCATTGCCCGCGCAGAGTTGCCGCTCTCTGCCCAGCCCACCCCGCCGCAGACGCCCAGCGGCGGGTCCAACATCTCTCCCTTGGTGGTCGCCGGCATCACTGTGCCCAGCACAGTGCAGGCCCCGATGTTTTGCCTGGCTTCGGTGGTAATCCGATGTATCGCGCCAGCACTGGGGATTCAGTTCGGCAGAGTCATCGTATGCCGCGGGCACCACCGTGGTTCTCGGCCCCTTCCGCGGATGAGGCACGTCATCCTGAGTCGTCGTTTGTCGACGGTCCGCAGAATTGACCTGCAGACGCCGAAGAGAACAGACAAGGCGGCCGCCACTTTGTGCTTTCGTGCGGCGCCCGGGTCTTGGAACAGCGAGTCCGCGAGCCCTTGCTTCAACGAAGGTCGGCGGCGCTGAACCCCCAACAGTGACAGAACCCCCAACAGTGACACGTCGATTAGTGAATTGTCCGTTTTCGGTTTTCGAGAGGGCGCCGTGGCCGTTGTTTTCCAGGCTTGCGCCCGCCAGGTTTGGGCCTCAGGTCGTTTTCACTAAACCACGTTTTGCTAAAGGGGGGTCTGTCCATCCCCGAATGGCCAGGGCCTGTACATCTCCCAGATTTCCTGACCCCCTGCTGTTTGTGCCGCGCAGCCTCCGGCCCCCCTCGTCCGCGCACGTGCCTCGGGCCACGACGCGCGGACCCCCCACACACCCCTCCTGGCCGTCTCTGTCCTCATGCCACGCGGGCCACGCCCGCGGACTGGCCGCCACAGCGAAGGTTGTTCATCAGAGCGTGAATTACCTACCCCGCTTTCGCTTCCAGGCAGAACCAAGTCATACCACGTGCCTCCTCGTCAAGCGGCCTGACCAGTACAGGCCGTAGTTTGGCATCGCTTGGTATCTCTTGGAAGCGAGGGTGGTCAAAAGCGAGGTAGGTTTGTTTTCCCCCTAGTTCAGCATGGGCAGGAAGTGATGTAGGTCTTCGTTTTCGTCTCCATTTTTTCCCTTCCCTGCCCCTGCGGCCGCACGGTCAGGCCTGCCCGTGGGCCAGGGCTCCTCAGCGCCGCTTGCCCGACCCCCCCAGGCGGAATCGGTCGCTGCGAGAAATCCGAGGGGGGCAGCGTGTATCCTCACTGGGCGACGGGCGGGTCGACCAAAGGGGCCACAGTTCTCCTGGCGTGGATGGGTACTGCCATCTTGCTCATACAGGGGGGCGCTGAATCAAGAACGAAGAAGCTAATCTTAAGTCGGGCCTGTCCCTCTGCAGGAGGAATCTTCAAAAATAGAGAACATAGTCTGGGGACGATTTGTGAGTAGTGTTGGATCATGCTTGAATATGTTTTGACTGCGTTTAAGCCTCCCTCGGAAATCCCTCTGTGGGGGGACGCGCCCGACCTGAGGCTGATCTGGCCCCTGCGAGCCTCGGCCACGAAGCGGCCCCCGACGGAGACCAGAAGAAAACGGCCCGCTGACGGATTGCCGCCGGCCTTCGGCCCCCGTTCTCCTGTCGGGGGAGCGTAAGACCCGGGTTTGCCGGGACTCGGGTTCGCCATCGTTTTTTGACGACCGCGCCTCGGATTTTGACGAGGAGGAGTTTCGTGGGATGTCTGCAGCGGGAGGCCTCGTCAAAATGCAGGCCCGGCCTCGTCATTTTTTTGACGACCTCGTCGGGGATTTCCGAGTCCACTGTACCCAGGTCTTACGTCCCCCTGATCCTGTGCCCATTTCGATCGTACCGCTCCTCGCGCTAACCTCGGTCACGAGCGAGGGGGGGAAGGGAGAAGGAGGAAGGCCTTCTCAGGAGGCGGCGGGACTTCTCAGAAGCCCTCGCGCCTTCTGAGGAGTTTTCGGTGTCATCGAGGAAGGCTCAGAAGACTTCTCAGCAGGCCGGGGGACTGCCGAGCCTTCTGAGAAGGCCTTCTCCTTCTCACTCCCCCCCCCCCCCTCGCTCAACGCCGACTCATGCTTGTGCTTCTGCACCACGTAGGTTGTTCCACAGATTGTGCACCGCATGCTGCTGGAAGCACACTGTCTGAGGCCCGCGCTGGCTAGCATGGGCAAGCGTTTCCGATTCCTGAACCTACATATTACCAGCCTGAGTCGTATCGTTTTCTCCAAGCTTCCCAGGTGGGGTCCGAGCAGACGGGTCGGAGAGTCGCGCCGCATAGCCGATGCATTGGCGATGCAGCCCGATGCGGAGCCCGATTTTCTCCACGCCGACTGCGCCGATGCATCGCCGACGTCGCCGATGCATCGCCGTCGCCAATGCATCTGCGACATCCCTGTCCCTGGGCCTGACATTGCCCTCTCCGGGTGCCGATTGTAAGAGTTTGCCCGGCTTCTGCGCGACGTCCCCAGGACAAATTTGTCATCGCCATGGGCTTGCCAAGCCTTCGGCCAGGGCGCCTCAACAAGGGCCAATCGGGTTTCGGGGGAGACTCTGGTTTCTGGGCCCGCTCCTCAGATCCAGGTCGGGGCAGCTTGCTGGTGGCCTCGTTCCTTGTTCAGCCTCCCTTCTGGTAGCACAATGGTCGGAGAGGGGCCAGCTGATGGGACGGCGGCTTTACACCTTAGGCGATGCTTAAGAAAACTTACGTTTTCGGCCAGAGTCTCGATTATTCTTAATGTTTCAATGTAAATCCTATGAGTTTGATAGAAGTTTTGGGTTTTTATTCAAATTCTGAGACTATGAATTTCTTAACCCATGATTTCTTAAGCATTTCGCAGGGTGTAGGATCGGCCCCTGGAGCCTTCCAGAGGCCCATCCCGACCCTGCTTCCGAGGCGGATCAAGCCGTCGCGGCGAGAAGTTTCGAGGAGGCCCAGGAATGACGGAAAACGCAATGGACTTGGCATCGCTCGGACGTGTGCGTTGTTCTTTCGGCGAGGACCATCGAGGAGCATCCTCGATCGTGTGGCGAAGAAACCCATGCACGAAACCGCAAAAAGCACAGGGAATGGACGTCCGAGCGATAGCGCGATGGCCAGTGGAGGGCCGCCGTCGTCTCGCCTGGCCCTCCGAGATGGCCGCAGGGGTGGGGATGAGCGGAGGACGCCCGCTTGGCTGCCTCCTGGGGCCCCAGCGGTGGCGCCCGCGCCGAGGGCCATCGGATCAAATCCAATGTGTTGCGTCTGCTTTGGGCTCGTCGGGGACCTCTCGAGGAGGCTCGCCTGGGGCGTCTCGGGGGCCTCCCCGGGCCGTCTGGAAGCCATCTTGGGCGCCTCGGAGTCGGCTCCGGGGCCGACTCGGCGGCCTCTTGGAGGACCGTGCTGGGGTGCTCATTGGGGCCCTCTGTGCCCGTCTCTTGGCATCGCTCGGACGTGTGCATTTTTTCGCGGCGAGGACCATCGAAGAGCATCCTGGATCTTCGAGCAAGAAACACACGCACAAAACCGAGAAACGCACAGGGAATGGACGTCCGAGCGACAGCAAGGTCTTGGGACTCTCGAGACAGTCACGCGTCAAGTCCTGGCCGCGCCCAGGAGAGCCCGAGGGCGCCCGGAGCGCGCGGAGAGGGGCCCTAAAAGGACACTCCAAGTCGTGCCTCGGCAAAAAGGACACCAAACAAATCAGGCGCTGAAGGTAAGGTTCAGTTGTGCCTGTCCCTCTACAGGTGGAATATCCAAGAATAGTCCAAGAATAGTCCGGGACTCGTTTTTGACTATGTTTGAGCATGTTTGGGGTAGGTTTGGGGTATTTTGAAGTCTTCGCCCAAAATCCCCCTGTAGGGGGACATGCCCGACCTAAAGCTGAGGAGCGCTCTGGGCTAAGGGGGGGGAAGATGTTCTGGTTTGCAGGCCGCTTACCAGACCTGGGTCGAAGGACCTGGGCGTGGCTGAGGCTCGCCGCCGTCGCCGGAAAAGCCCACTCCGGTGCTCGTTCCGTGTTCCTCGTGGTAGCAGGGAGGCTGTACCAGTGTCACGCCGGTCGGACGACACCATCAGCGCGTTGAACATTTTGAGATCGCAGGCTTTTGTGCAACAGGCGAATGAGTAGCACGCTCAGTCTGAAATACGACGCGTGTTACTCGAGATGTGTTGACTTCTCATGCTCACCTTCTCCCTCGATTTCGGCTCCCAGAAGCTGTTTATGGTCCCTGGGACCGACAACTGTGTGTGTATGTCTAAAGCATGATCCTGAGGGAGGGTTCGAGGCCTTGGCATAGGGCCCGCTGGTTGAATCAATCGCATCGTTGGATGCTTGGGCATATGCTGTATTCAGAGGTGTTTAGATATTTATGATGTTCAGTCTTAGCATTTTGGCGCCCTGGGTCTACGGATGCTTCTGCAGACCTCTGGAGGCTTCAGGGGTCCCAGACCTCCGACGGATGATTGATCCCGATCCCTGACATTTCGTGGGTTTCGGCTATCGGCAAGTGTGTTCGATGCCTGGGGACGTCGAAATTGATCGGGTTTGGAGAACCTGTCGAGAGCTCGGAAGACCTCAGGGGAGGAGTCGAGAGCTCCAGGGCCCACGAGATGGAAAAGTCAGAACATGTTCACGCCTGGATTCATGTCCGGGCGCAGGGCAGCCCTCGATTCTTAGCCTTGCCGAGTTTTGCTGGGGCCGTGGCAGCGCGTCTTCGGACGAATGTTCTGCGTCTTACCAAAGAGAAGCCGATCCTGAACGCTCATGCATGCGAGTTCTCGCCAAATTAGCCGGGCAGCTTTGAGCGGATATTCTAGCTCGTCACATTTGAATATCGTTGCACGTGGTTGTGTTCGAATTGTATGGTTGAGCGCTGAGATGGCATGCCGAGTGCACATGGCAAGTGAGAACGAGCAATCCTTTGCTGCAGTGGGCCTTCGCCACGTTCAACGCCTTGTCCATCGTCAGCATTATCATGGCGGGCGTCGGCAATCTGTACTTGATTCAAAGGCTCCGCCTGCCATTTGTGTGCTGGAGTTCGGATGGGCGTTCAGTCTGTCGGTCTGCAGCCATCGCTTGGCTCTGAGAGACTCCTCTCTGATTATGGCACTCGTGCGCGTGCCCAGATCACCACGCCTCAGTTGCGATCATCCCCGTGGTAATCCCCTCCTCCTCCTCCTCCTCCTCCTCCTCCTCGCAGGACAGCCGGGCTAACCACAGTGGGTGGCGGAAGAAAGGCGAAGGGATTGGAAGAGAAGTGGGATGATGCCGACGATGACGATTGACGACGGTGATGTGGTGAGGAGGAGGAAGAGGAGGAGGAGGAGGAGGAGGAGGAGGAGGAGGAGGAGGAGGAGGAGGAGGAGGGTGGGAGTTGTAGAGGCATTCTGAGCACATGGGTGATGAGGAAGAGTGGGGAAAGGGGGGCAGGGGGGATCGGCCTGGGTGGAGATGAGACGGGGACGGGGCACGGGGAGGCGCACGCGGAGGCGCTGGAGCGGGACGGGCAGAGGCGGGGGCGGAGAATGGGAACGGGGGATCGGAGGGATGCGAGCAGGCGGGGGAGAGGATGGGTGATCAAGTCGGGAGGGGGGGACGAAGGCGCCCAGGGGCGGCAGGCAGATAACGAGGCACGAATCCAAGGACTCCCAATACTTTTTTCTATAGTTTCTGGATTGCCGTCCTCCCCTCCACTTCCCGTATGGAGGGAGGAGGCATGGGCGCGGCAGGGGGGAGCGGGGTGCAGAGGGGAGGAAGGGGGAGGGCAATTAGAGGGCAGAGGGGGAGAGCGGCAGATCGGAGGGACAGCAGGAATCGCGGGCGGGATTGCGCAATCGGGAGGGGTGGAGGGAGACGGCAGGAGGAGGGGGAGGAAGAGGTGGAGGAGGAAGAGGAGGAGCAGGATGGACAGGAGGAGGAGGAGAAAGAGGGAGGAGTAGGTGGCAGGGAGAAGGAGGGAGGAGCTGTGAGGCCGAGTGGGCGGAGGAGGTGGGGAGTCAGGAGGCGGGCGGGAGGGCGAGGGCCAGGGGTGGGAGGCGGATGCTGAAGTCGGTGACCACCAGGGCAAGGGCAGGGAGGTCGAGGCGGGGGAAGAGAGTGGTGAGAGTGAGGAGGGGAAAGAAGGCAACAAGGAGGACGAGGTGCTGGAGGATGGGAAGGGGGACGAGGGAATAAGGAGGGGGAAGAGGATCAGAGAAGTGGGGTGATGTTGGGGCGGTGGACGACGACAAGGAGCCGGACGAGGACCACGTGGACGAGGAATGACGGTTGATGAGTGGGCAAACCAGAAGGAGGAAGAAGAGGAGAGCGAGGATGATGAGGAAGAAGAGAGAAGCAAGAGTAGGGACTCTGGTTCATGTTTAAGAGAACAGAGAGTCGGAGAGGGGAAGCTTGAGGATGTGGGACGATCGGGCTGGAATGATGAAGCTGCTGCGAGTGCGCCCCGGCGGGGCCGACCACTACTACTGAATCACGCTGCAATCGACCAGCTCCCTCTTCAGGGGCTGCCCTCTGATTCTGTACCCGACGGCGGCGCTGGCGTCCCCTTCTCGCGCAGGCACTCCCCAGGCGCTGTGCTACACTTCCATGAGCTCCGGTTTGCTCTGGTTCCGGTGGTGGTGGGCCTCGCTGGGCCCGGCTCGGTTGAAACCGAAGCAACAACAATCACGTTTTTTTTCCGGGACGTGATGCACTCCTCCTCCTCCGCAGCCCCTCATCCCTTCCTCGCCAGCCCTCTCTCTGCTCCTCTGTATGCTTGGGCGGAGGCACCGCCTCGGGGAGCGCTGCGGGCCCCGCTCGGCAGGCGACGCGCCGTGTGCTGACAACGAGACCCCCCCCCCCTGGGGGAGGACGAGGGCGGCGATGGAGAGAGGGGGGGTAGGAGGAGGAAGAGGAGGAGGACAGCACTTCCACTTGCGCGGTCCTCCGCCCCCTCTCCCCTCTCTCCCCCTCGTGGCCGTTGCTTTTTAACTTCTAGCCCCAGGTTGAATCCTTGTGTGCAGCATCGACCTTCACGATGAGGAGGGCGATGATGAGGGTGAGGCTCGTCATGAGGCGGAGGGTGAGGATGATGAGAAGGAGGAGGAGGAGGAGGAGGAGAAGGAGCAGGTGGAGGAGGAGGAGAAGGAGGAGGAGCAGGAGGAGGCGGAGGGGGAGGAGATGAAGTAGGAGGAGGAGGAGAAGATATCACCGGCACTAATCATTTTCAATTTGGGCCCTCCGAGACCGTCATGGATGGCCTTGCGGTCGCAAAATTGCCCCATGAGGGGCTCTGATGTTGGGGCCCGGTAGGGCACCGCGCTCCCGGGATGGACAGTGCAACCGGGGCAGCGTTCGCGCGGGGGGGTCGTCACCTCCTCTCGTCTCCCACCCGCCCTCATTATCCCTCATCTTCGCCGTTCCCTTCCTATCATATCTATTCCTCGTTCTTTTCCTGTCTTCCGCTCTAGTCTGCTCTCTTCTGCTCCTTTCCGCTCTCTTTCGCATTTGTCCGTTCTCTTCCGTTGTCTTCCGCTCTCTCCTGTTCTCTTCTGTTCTCAGCCTCTCTATTTCCGTTGGCTTCCGCTCTCCTCCGCAGGTTCCGCTCTCTCCCACTCTTTTCCTTTCACTTCCGCTCTCTTGCCAGCAGATGGTTGGCAAGGATGTCCCCCTTTTGTGTTTGTTTTGATCCGTAGGCTGCCAGCAATTGACTGGCAACATGATGTCCGCTCTTTTCCCGCTCTCGTCCGCTCTCTTCCGATCTCTTCTGCGCTCTTCCGTTTTTTTCCCGCTCTCGCCCGCTTTCATCCGTTATGTTCTTGCTCTTTTCCGATCTCTTCTGCTCTCTGCCGCTCTCTTCCGCTGTATTCCGTTTCTTACGCCCTCTCACGTTTTCGTTTTCGTTATCTCTCTCTCTCTCTCTCGCTCTCTCGGTTTTTCTTCCGATCTACACATGTATATGTATACATCTATACAAAAACACACATATATATATGTATGTATGTATGTATGTATGCATGCATGCATGCATGCATGCATGCATGCATGCATGCATGCATGTATGTATGTATGTATGTATGTATACATATGTGTGCGCAGCTCCTTTCCTTTCTCTTCTTCGCTTCTCCTTTCCTTTCTCTTCCTCGCTATTCCCCTACCTCCCATTCTCTGATGAGCTCATCCTCTCTCCTACTCTCTCATCCTCTTGCTTCGTCTCTCTCTGCCTCTCTTCCCGCGGCACGCGCCGACACTCGGCCTCTGCCGCAGCGCCTCCGCCCTCCAACCCCTGCCAATCGTGCGGAAGCACCGCCACAGCGTTATGGAAGTCGATTGTTGGAGAGGAAGCATGCTGCCAAATACTTCCCAGATGTCTAAGACATGGTTCAAACATGTTTTGGATATGCAAACCATGTTTGACACCTTTCTAGAACATGCTTTACACATGTTAAACACATTATAATTCCATGATAGGACTGCTAGAGTGCCCACTGCCATGGCATCCACAACTATAGCGGCCAGCTGCCTTGCCCCTCGCCGGCCTGCTCCTCCCGGGGCGCGCCATGCCCCCCCCAGGAGCGTCGCGCGGAGGCCGGCGTCGGCGGTCGCGGTGGCCCGCAAGATGAAAAGTCACCCCCAGGGCGCCCCAGGTCTCCGAGAGCCTCCAGGTCGCCCAGGACCTCCGGGTCTGCCAGGCGCGCCCGCGTGGGCAAGTCGCCCAAAGCCAAGATTCCCGAGGTCAGAGGCCCCCCGTGCCCCCAAGGCCATGAAGTCCAAGCCACCGCCGTGAAATGCTGACTCTGATTGTGAGACCGGAGATGTCTCGCCGCACGAGAGGGGTGTGCCCATCATTGGAGGGTGAAAGAGAGGGTCTGCAACAGGGGGTCTTCAATGGGGGCTGAATGGCCCATGTATGCTCAATGTACCGCTCATGTATGTGATCGGGTACGACTGGCATCCAATGTTGGCGTTCATTGAGGGCCGGTCGTTCGTGGGCAAACGCGCCGTCCATCCATTATCGTTCATGCATGCGGGGGTTCTTGCATATTGCGCGTTGGGCGGAGAAGTGGCGTGCAAGTGTGTCTTGATTGTGCGACTGATGATCGTGTGTGTTCTCAAACGATGACTTGTCGACCCCCAGGACAGATTGGAAATGAGTCCCGCGATTTTCCCAACATGTGAATTCACATGTTCCTTTTTCCCTACACATCTCCCTTTGTCCCAACATGTGAATTCACATTCTGGCCCTTGCATACATACTCCAACACCAAATTCCAACATGTGAATTCACATTTCCTTTTTTCCAAACTGTGAATCCACATTTGCCTTTTTTCTCAAAATGTGAACTCACATATTGCTTTCCCCCGCGATGTGAATTCACATTTTGCCCTGGCTTTCAAGATCCCCAACTCTGAAGCGCAGTGTTCCGAATGTCAAATCGGCTGGGCAGATTTGGCACTCAGCTCACCGCTGTCGTTTATCCAAACCTATTTTTGCATCCTCAGCGCACGTTGCCTTCGTCGCCTTTCCCGAACCCCCCGCCCCCTTGCTTCGTTTACCCTCGAGTCTCGCGCATGGGTGCAGGCGGGGAGCTTCAATCCGCTCCCCCGCCGAACACAGCAATCGAGGATGCGTCGTCCATGCATGGCCCATAAAGACACATTGCCGGGACCCTGCGCCCGACCCCCATTTCACCCTCCAACATCAGGCCTGGGCCTTGAATATGATTCGAAAGCTTCGTTTGAGGCATCGCCATCGCTACTTGCATCTTGGATATGGTTCTGTCTTCTAGATGGGCGGGGGAATAGGGGTATGGGATGCCGGGACGAAAGAAAATGCGGAGTGCGAGGAGGTTGGTCGATGAGGAAGATTTCAGGTTGTCCTGGATCTTCTTGGGAAATGAATTGGAAAGCGACAGTGGACTCCTTCCTCTGATTTGCGCGCCACTTCTCAGCTTCTGGAATTTAGCGAAGCGCTGTCAGCCTGGCCGAGGAGGAAGACGCGGAGAGGGGGCGGGAGAGCGGGAGCAGGGAGGAGCGGCGTCTTCGCTGCAGCGCGGCACCTTGCCGCGCCTCGGCCCGCGAGCCATCTGGAAGTATACCTGTGGCTCCTGGTCTTGTCGCTGGCCACCGACATCTCCGCCATAGTGGTCTGCCGCCTCCCCCCGTCCAAGCCGGCAGGAGTGGCACGAAGGATATGGAGGGTCCTGGAGGGACAGGGCCTTCGAGTTTTGTGCACCCTTCTCGGCGTCTGGGGCCTTCCCCCCAGGCCTGAGACCGTCAAGAAACGACTCTGGATGACAAACGGGTCATGTGGGAAGCCTTGGGGCCCAGGGGCCCAGGACACTTTTTTACCAGGGCCCATCTCCGCCACGTCAATTCCGGCAGGCAGGAGTCGGAGGTTTCCGACAAGGTTTGATCGAGGATTGGTGCTTGTAGACGTTTGTAACTCCTCTTGGGCCTCCTGCGAGCTTCTCCTCGCCACGGCTGTCTTCGCCTCGATTCTAGACAGACCGTGCCCCAGCCCCAGTCTGGAGGTCGATTCTTCAGGAGGTGCGGCTTTGTGGTACCGTAAAAGAAGCTTTAGATCAGAGTCTCTAGGAGGTTCGTCTTCCTCATCCTTCTCCTTCTGTCCACCAACCCTCCCGCCTCCTCACCTTGTCCATCCTCCTATTCATTCTCCCGCATCCTCCCTCCATCCTCTTTCTTCTTTCTGCTGGCCTTCCGAGCCGTGCGTGGCGCGCCTACTCCCTGCTGGCCTTACCAGTTACTATTCACGCTCTCTCTATTCCGCTGCCTCCTGCCGCCTCATGCTTCTCCTCCCCCTTCTGCCCCCCCGCCCCTTCCGCTCTGCTTCCCCGCCTCCGTCTCCCCATGTCTCCCCCCTTCCTGGCAGTCTCCTCGTTCCTGCTCCTCCGGCCCCTGGTAAGCCTCCTCGGAATCCTTGTGAACCTCTCTCCCTCCCTCCTCCCTGGAACTCCCTCTCTGCCTGCTGTCCTTTCACGTGCCTCTCCCCTCCCTGTGACCTTCTTGCCCTCCTGTTTCCTTCCTCCCTCCCCTTTCTTACATGAAGGGATTCGCCATCTGCCGCCCCTCCGTCTGATGGCCTGAACTTCTGTCGATTCGGGGTGGTTGGTTGACACGCTGATTTGCTGGCAAGCTGGCAACTCGGCTGCTTGGCTGGCTGCCTGGATAGACGGTTTGCAGGTTTGCTCGCTAATTGATTGGTTGGTTGAGGGGCTTGGTTGACAGGCTTGACGGTTGGCCGTTGGGGTGGCTGGCGGTTTCGAAGCGCGGTTTTGTTGTTACGAGGGTTGGTGGCTTCACGGGCTCAGGTCCACAGTTCCCAGCACGCCTGCGCTGTTGGGCCGTCATTTTCGATCCGCAGTGCAGCGTTCCGTCTCTTCACCTCTTCACGTTCTCCATTTCGTCCTCCTCCTCTCCCTAAGAAGCCTTCCCCGCTCCCTAAGACGCAGCATCCTACGACGCAGCATCCGTCTAAGAAGCCTTCCCCGCTCCCTAAGAAGCCTTCCCCGCTCCCTAAGGCGCCTCCTACGACGCAGCAAACCGTCTAATGAAGCCTTCCCCGCTCCCTCCGAAACCCCTTCGGCGTGCGCGCCGCCCCCGAGCTGCCGTGGAGCGCGCGCGGGTCTCGCGTCGAGCAGGGGCGGCGCGTCTTTGAGCTGCGCGATGATCCTCGGGACGCTTGTTAACCCTCCCCCTCCCCCTCCCCCTCCTCCTCCCCCTCCTCCTCCTCCTCCTCCTCCTCCTCCTCCTCCTCCTCCTCCTCCTCCTCCTCCTCCTCCTTTTCCCTCCTCCTCCCCCTCCCCCTCCTCCTCCTCCTCCTCCTCCTCCTCCTCCTCCTCCTCCTCCTCCTCCTCCTCCTCTCCAGCGTGTGTTGACACGCTGGTCGTTAAAGATATGTATTTTTCGATCCCCAGATCCCAATCTACATTTCAAGCGCCGTCCTACCTCAAGAATCGGCATGCCTCTGCTGTGTTTTTTGTTGCTCTCTGCGAGGGCCTGGACCCAATCCACTTTGCCGGCCTTCCTGCTTTCTGTTTTTACCTGCTCCTTCCGAGCGACGTGTACCCTATTCCGGCTCCGCCGATCGCGCGCCTGCCCGTATTCCCAGTTTCCTACGTTTCAGTTAGTCTGTTCCATGAGGCGGTTGTTGACGACGCTACCGCCAAATTATTTTCGCTTCGCGATCCCCACCAGCCCAATCAGGAGCCCTTTCCATGAGAGCTGAGTGACGGGAAAAGGGACGAAGAGACACATTTAGTGGAACAAAGCGGGCAACCAGGGTGAGGAAGAGAGATCTGAGGGAGTAAAGGGGTAGCCCTGGAGGGCCTCTTCGGGCCATCCCCAGGGCCCAGAGCTCTTTTGGGGCAACATGAGGCCCTCTTGAGGCTCTTTGGGGGGTCGTGGGGGTCCTCTTGGGGCTCTTTTCGGGCGCCTTTAAGCCCTCATGGGGCCCTCTTGGGGCTCTCCTGGGGCTCTCTTGGGGCCCTCTTGGGAGCTATGGGGCGCCTCCTGGGGACATCTTGGAAACAGTCGATCAAAGGAGGGGGGGTCCTCGATTCCCCTCCCCCCTCCGGGGCCATCGAAATAGCCTCTTGGCACGCTCTTGGGACCCTCGTGGGGCGATCTTGGGCGCTCTTGGGGCAGTCTTGGGGGCCTCTTGGGCCCTTCTCGGAGCTCTCTTGGTTACGCCCATCTTGAGGCCTCAAAGCGCATCAGACGCGAAAAGGCGAGAAGGCGAACATCAGTGATGCTCCTGAGGGTTAGAAGGATTTTGGCTTCTCGGGGAGGTCCTGAGGGGTCCAAAAGCACCTGGAACCGTCTTGTGGCCCTCTTGAGGCCACTTGGAGGCATGTTGTTAGCTATCTTGAGCAATGTCGGGCCATCTTGAGCGATCTTGGCGGCTATCTTGGGCTCTGTGAGGCCCTCTTTAAGCCATCTTGGGCAAAAAAAGACTCTGACACCTTGCGACCCCCCCCGTCCGGTTCCAGGGCAGGGGGTAAGGGGAGGGCTAATATTCTCCCCGAGGTGGAAGAAGGGGTGTTTGGAAGAAGGAAGAAAGACATCGCTAGACCACTTGTGCCCAGAGGATTTGGGGGATTATACGCTGCGCCGGAGCAGTCTCTTGCTGGCCGAGTAGTATGCCAACCCCTTGCCAAATCTAGAATAGCGCACCGAGGGCATGTATTGGTGCACCATTGTCGCCGTCGCCAAAAGTTAGATCACACATATCAGCATGTCGCGCCCTGGGCCAGTACCGTCGCCAAATGCTATGTAGTTTGTGGCAAGGCAGAACTTGGCAGGAGGCCCAGTATACATGTGCATGTATACATTGTTAACTATATGTTTATGCATATAGCTGTATATGTCTGTGTGTACATTCAGATCTGTATACACATTCATACATGTGTACGCACATCTGATCACTTGCGGTTTGCGATACCTGTTATTTGTCATGCGTGGTTGAGACGGTCGTATTGTAATACGCTTGCGGTATGGTCTGCGAGAATTCCGTGGCAGGCCCATATAGCAAGGGAATGCCACGACAGTCCGTCCTTGCTCCATTGAGGGAAGCGCGGGCACCGGAAGCCTCTCGCAGCTCTTGGGGACCCCGGCTGCAGAACCGCCCCCCTTGGGGGGGTCCAGGACCCAGGTCCCGCTCCCCTCGGGACCCGCCCCCTTGATCGGGCCGAACGAAAGGGGGGGATAGGGGAAAGGGGGCTACGAAATCTGGTGCATGCAGCTGGTTTCAGCCCCGCAGAGGGGCCCACTCCTCGATACGTGGCCGCCATTCCCGCGCCAGGAGGTGCCCTTAAAATCGGCGACGTGAGCTGGTTCTCAACCCCCCCTTTGGTATCCCCCCCTTTCGCCCAGCCCGACTTGAGCGCCAGAGACGTAGGGCGTAGCTCGAAAGGAGGGGATCCCGCCATCAGCTTCAAAGAGAGGAGGGAGCGGGGTCCGGCCTCGAAGTTGACGGCGAGATGGCGAGCCCACGGGGCGACGCGCCTGTGAGCCTCAGCACTGTCGGCCGCCGACTTAGCGGCGCGCCGCTGTCGGGGATTTGCTGGCGGCAACACGCACCAGCTGCTCAGGTAGTCACCGCCCACCAAACCACCCCAACCCAACCCGAAGTCCCCAATGCCCTCCATTTCCCAGTGGGGGGGGTCGGGGAACATCGAAAAAACACATATGAAACCCGTACCCCCTCCCCAACCCGAAATTCGGGTCTTCGGGTTGGGTTGGGGTGGTCTGGTAGGTAGTCAGGTAGGGAGGGTAAGGACTTCCAGGATTTCCAGGGCCGCCGAGATTTCCGAATGTTCCACACGGGCTGCAGAAACGAGGGCCGCTAGATGCCCGGAAACCCTAAAACGCATCCTGAGCCGATCCATCATGACATCCTTCTCGTTCCATCGAGGGGAGAGAGAGGGAAGAGGGGGAGGAGAAGGCAGAGCCCCCTCCTCACTCTGTCACCCCCCAGCAGGCCGATCGCGATCTGGTTCTGGCGCGATTTGGTTCCGGGTTCGATTCGTCGGCGATTCGCAGCGATCCGGTTCCAGGCGTTGCGATTAACGATTTCCCGATCCGATGCCGGGCTGACCAGAGAGTGGGGAGGACGAGGAGGAGGAGGAAGCTGGAGGGGCAGCAGCAGCAGAAACACAGGCAGCTGTCGCAGCCTGCTCCGCGGGGCGCTCGGCGGCGGCGAGGTGTTCCTGTTCTGGGGCAGCTCCTGCTCCACGAACCACGCGAGCTCGTCGCACATCGCGGCCCGCTGCCCGCTGCCCTCCTCCTCCCAGCGCGCGGGTTTTTTCCATGCCCATCGTGGGCAGAAAGTAGGCATGTTTTGGATTCCGCTTCCAGTTTTTGTGCAGGCGCTATCCTAGCTCAAGAATCGACTGGCTTCCCTTTTCCTGCCTCTTCAGGGGGCGGGCGGCAGCCAGATCTACTTCGAAGGTCTTCCTACTTCCTGTTTCCACCCATTTCTTCCGAACGATGGATCTCCACCGCCTGGGGGACCGATCTTCCTGGACCTCAGGGGCGGTAGATGTGGACAGATTCGGGCCCCGTCGGGCCCGAACCTGTTTTTACGTATGTGCAGATTCCCGAGTATTGGCATTTATGGGGTTATCGCCTCTCTTCTCGGGAGCTGGCCCTGAATGTCGGTCTGGCGGCTCCGCGCTCGCCGTGGCCGCCCCGCCCCGCCGCCTTGTCGCCGCCAATCGTCTGGGCCTGGTTGTCGGCCTGACGGCTCCGTGGTGGCCGTCGCCGCCCTGTCGCCGCCTCGTCGCCGCCCCGTGTCCGCCTCGTCACCGTCGTCTTGCCGCCGCCTTCAACCACAGAAGCTGCGTGACATAGATTCTCCTTTCTATAAAGAGAATCGGTTCTACCACCCTCCCCCCCCCCCCACGGACTTAAATGTTCCCCTCTGCGTATCGCAATTTACGTGTGATTCTGCCCCATCGTCCATCTTGAATATGAATGTTACACTATCCCAGGGGGGCCGGTGTCGTTCCCCCGCGCCATCCTCTGCAAGAAATGCTCTGCGCGCACACTCGCTTATCAACAATTTTTTGAGTTTTCAAGAATCCCGTGCAAAACATGGGACGAAGTGCACACGCGCTCGTCGTCGCGCGCGCATGCCGAACTCCTTCAAAAACCTTTGGTTTCGGAAGGGTTTCAACATCGAATGTCCAAAGAGCCTGCAAAAACACAAGGTTTCGCAACACGGATTTTCAACAAAAGCTTACGCGCGCGCTCTTGCGAAGTCTTGAGAAAACCATATGGTTTTCAAGATTTTCAGAAATTGCTACCAAACGGCTTCACGCGCGCATGTCGAAATCGTTCGAACGCCCTTTCGCGCGTGCCGTCGCGAGAATGCTCTTCAAAAAATAAGACGAAGTGCACGCGCGCGCGCGTCGTTGCGCGCGCATGCCGAAATCCTTCAACAACCTTCGGTTTCGGAAGGATTTCAAAATCGAGTTGCCACAAAAACATACAAAAACACAACGTTTCGCAACACGGGTTTTCAACAACAGCGTGCGCGCTCGCTCTTGCGTCGTCGTCGTCGTCGCTGTCCTCCCTCTCCTCCCTCGCCGTCGTCGTCTGTCTTTCCTCGTCGTCGTCGTCTTTGGCGTCGTCGTCGTTTCCGTCGTCGTTGTCGCCGTGGTCGTTCTTCCTCCTCCCTCGTCGTCGTCGTCAGTCGTCGGCGTCTCGTCGTCGTCCCTCCTATTTCGTCGCCGTCGTCGTCGTCGTCGTCTTCCCTCCTCCCTCGTTGTCGTCGTCGGCGTCGCCGTCCTCCCTCCTACTTCATCTTTCGCGTCGTCGCCATCCTCCCTCTTCCCTCGTCGTTGTCGTCGTTGTCGCTGTCGTCGTCCTCCCTCCTTCCTCGTCGTCGTCGCCAACTTCGTTGACGACGTCGTTGTCGTCGTCTTCGTCGTCGTCGTCGTCGTTGTCGGCGTCGTCGTCGTCGTCACGGCGTGGGCGTCGTCGGCGTCGGCGTCGGCGTCGTTGTCGTCGGCGTCGGCGTCGTCGTCGTCGGTGTCGTCGTCGTCGTCGTCGTCGTCGTCGTCGTCGTCGTCGTCCCCGTTGTCGTCGTCGTCGAAGTCGTAGGAGTCGTCGTCGGTGTCGTCGTAGTCGTCGTCGTCGTTGTCGTCGTCGTTGTCGCGTTCGTCGACGGTGTCGGTGTCGTTGCCAAGTGCCATTTGGTACCTGTGTCACGGTCTTGAGAGGACTTGCGACCAAAGTGCGGGTGGGAGGGTGGGAGGTTTGCACGAGCAGTGGAGAGGACAGTTTCAAGACAATCTAAGTGAATTGCACCACGTAGATTGTACAACATAGATTTTCCTTTCTACCCAAAATTGCATCTACCCCCCCCTACTGGAAGTAACGCTCCCTTCTGGGACACTGCAGTTTACTTATTAGTCTGCCCGACCGTGGATTCTATATATGAACTCATACCACTTCAGGCAGGCCCTCATCGCCCCATCCCCCTCATGCCTGCCAAGTGATTCTACAACGCACTCATTTCTGTACCCGTCGGTGGGTGTGTATGTGTGTATGTGCGGGCGCGTTTCTGCTGGCATGTGCGTGCCTATGCGCGGCATGTGCCCGGCTTGTGCGGACCTTCTGGGTTAGACGTCCGTGCATGCGCGCCCGGGCATGTGCAGGGTCATGTGGGCTGTGTTTGATGCACCATTTGTCTGCGCATTCCCGCGCATGACGGCGCATATGCCCGCACATATTATCGCAGATCTGCCAGCGGCACATGCACGCACATGCTTGTGCAATCCTCCTGCGGATGACCGCGCGGGCCCGCACATGCACCCACATGTGTTGAAACGCGCGTCCGCACATGCTCGCTTATTCTGGCGCCCATGCCCGCACATGCCTTCGGAGCTGTCTGGGACCCCCAAGAAGAGCCTCCAGTACTTCGTGGCCTTCGCAGAGTTTCCTGGGGCCTGCCAGGGCTTCCCGGAGCCAGTACCAGACATGCTGAGAGAGTTGCGGGCTTTACTCGCCCAGCGCTGGTGGGAGAGGTTTCAGGAGGAGAAGAAACACACAGACACAATTAATCGTCGATTCCCAGGAAAATATAAGAGAATATGGGGAGTGGTGGGGAAGACAAAAACCCAGAGAATATGGGAAATTGTAGGGAGTCCTTTTGTTTGTGTGTATTTATTTATGTGTTTGTAGGCCCCTTCACGGTTCTTCGCCCACGGGCCACGTCGATGTGCTTCATTATTTGCCGTCGTCCAGTGGCCGTGCAGCGCTTGTTGGCGCGCCCTGTAAAAGTCTCTTTCCCTCGCGCCTGGTCGGCTCGGCCAGAAGAGCAGGACGAGGAGGGGGAGGAGGATGAAAGGACTGGAATCCGACAGAGGGGGAGGGGAGTAGAAGGAATGGGGGGAACCATGGAAGAGGACGTGGAGGAGGAGGAGGCGCCCGCAATTCGCATCGTCATTCGATGCGATGTTCGTAGTGTTCTGGCCCGTTTTGCATGAAGCATCCTCAGAACTCTGAGCTCCGAGATGCCTTCCTTGACTAGAGGTGGTCCGACCCGTTTCGCTTGGGACGCCCCCAAAGTTCTGGGTTCCAAGATGCGGTTCTTGAAGTGGTCCGGCCCGTTTCGCGCGAGACACCTTCGGAGTTCGGGGCTTCGAGAATGTTTGGCTTGAGCTGATGTGTCCCAATTTGCCTAGGCAGGACATCTTCATAATTCTGGGCCCAGATGCGCTCATTAGGTGCTCCGGCCCGTTTCGCGTGAGTCACGCCGCGTGAGACAAACTCGGAGTCCAAGGCTTCAGAATGACGGGATTCTAAAATCAGGAGGGAAAAAAACACAGACACGATTAATCGTCGATTCCTTAGGAAAATATGGGAAAATATGGGAAGTGGGGGGGAAGACAACCACCAAGATACTATAGGAAAATATGGGGAATCCTGTTATTTGTGTGTATTTATTTGTGCGTCCCAGGGCCCCTTCATAAAAGTCCTGCACGGACCTCCTTGGCACGCACCGTTCGCCCTCCGTACAGCATGTGACCGCTCGCCTGGGCCGGCGGCGAGTTCGGCCTGTGCAATTGCTGTGCGGGGCTGCGGGGCATGTCCAGGAGGGAGAAAACCACACAGACACAATTCATCGTCGATTCCCAGGAAAGTATGGGAAACTATGGGAAGTGGGGGGGAAGACGAAAACCCAGAAAATAGGGGAGAATCTGGGGAATCCTGCCATCTGTGTGTATTCATTTGTGTGTCCCAGGGCCCCTTCACTCGGGAGCGGAAAAGAGGGGGGTGATGACTAGGGGCTGGGGATTTCATGGCGCGGGCCATGATTTTTCCTCAGATTTCATGGCGCCTCTTCTTATTTCATTACGTCCCAGGCCCCCCCGCTGGGCCGCGCACATGCCGCCGGTCATGATTTGCACCCCCCCCTCTTGGACACCCCCCTCTTGGCCGCTCCCGATTCACATGTGCGGGACGTGCCAGATCGCCAGGGCCGTCCCGGCCGGGAGCGTCCTCGACTCAACGGGCGCCCCGCCCACGGCCTGCGCAGGCGCGCGCAGTGCCTGCGCAGGCGCGCGCTCGCCGCCCAGCGCGCGACGCCGGAGCCGCGGTCCAGCCATTCTCGCTCGAGGCGTCCTCGGACGTCTGGCCTCGGAAATGCCATGAGCTGGTTCTAGGCCTCCTAGATGGGGTCGGAGTAGATGGGGTCGGATGATCGCGCCGCATCGCCGATGCATCACCGATGCAGCTCGATGTGGAGCCCGATTTCCGTCCCGTCGACGTCGCCGAGGCATCGCCCACGTCGACGCCTCATCGACGCTGCATCGCCGATGCATCGCTGATGCATCGCCGATGTATCGCCGATGTATCGGCGATGCGGCTCGGTCCATCGACCCCATCTACTCCGACCCCATATAGGAGCCCTCTACTGGTGGGACCCGGCCAGCTCGCCCGAGACATCCTCCCAGTTCTGACCTCGGAGATGCCCTCCACCATGGTGGTCCAGCCACTGTCGCCTGAGACATCCTGGCAGCTCTGACCTCGGAGATGCCCTGCCCCATGGTGGTCCGGCCACTTGCGTGAGACATCCTGGCATTTCTGGGTTCCGCGATGCCCTGAGGTCAGGTGGTCAGGCCACTTTCGCCTGAGACATCTTCGCAAGTCTGACCTGGGAAATGTCCTGAGCTGAGGAGGTCAGGCAATTTGTTCCTGAGACACCATCGCAACTCTGACTTCGGAGATGCCCTGCACCATGGTGGTCCAGCCACTTTTGCCTGAGACATCTTCGCAACTCTGGATTCCGAGATGCCCTGAGCTCAGGTGGTCAGGCGCTTTCACCTTAGACATCCTATCAACTCTGGGCTCCGAGATTCCCTGAGCTGAGGTGGTCAGGTCACTTTCGCCTGAGACATCCTCGCAATTCTGGGTTCCGAGTTGCAGGTGGTCAGGCTACGTGCGCCTGAGTCATCTTGGCGTGGTACATCATCCGAGCGCTTGCCACCGCTTTTGTTCGATTGGCGCTGTCTCCTGCCACGTCGCTTAGTCGGGTAGTTATGCTTCCCTCGTTTTACTCGTTTCTTACCTCAGTCCTCTCTCCTGTGTTCTTTTTTACTTTCTCTGTCCCCCATCCGAATCTTCGAATCTGCGGCATGTGCGGGCATGTGCGTTTACTCGTGCAGAGTTTGTCCAGACTGTGCCACCGATTGTTCATCGGACTGTGTGGCATGTGCGCACATGTGTTGCCACGTTGTTGAGACTTATGCAGGGTTGCGTGGGCATGTGCATGCGACTGTGCGGCATGTGCGTGCATGTGAGGCCCATACCTCAGAACTGAAGTGAGCACCACATATTTGAGCACTAGAAATCAGTCGGTTGTATGCGCGCGCACCCATGTACCAATAATCATCAGTTTTCAAGAACCCAGTGCAACACATGAGGCAATGTCCACACGCTCGCGTTGTCTCGCGCGCATAATACAATTATTCAGATACCCTTAGGTTTAGTATGGATCTCAAGATCGAGGTTCCCGAACGCATTCAGCACCCAAGGGTCTTGCAACCTGGCTGCTCAACACAATCTGTGCACACGCTCTGGCGAATCCATATGAAAACAATGCGTTTTCAATATTTGCACAACCTTCGACCAATCGGGCCTCTCGCGCGCGCATGGTGAAGTCATTCGAACGACCTTGTGCGCTTGCCGGGCGGGGAGGGGCACGATCCCTGTCAAATAACACCATGCAGGCCACTCGCACGCGTCGGCCGCGCGCGCATATCGACATCCGTCCAAAACCGTCATCACCGACACGTGGACGCCATCACCGTCATCGACTGACCAGCATCAGCGCCGTCATTGGCCTTGTCGTCGGCCATCGTCGTGTTCGCCCCCGCCGACGTCACCACGATACCGCGCCCGCCCGAGCCACCGACTCGCACTGGAGTGCCCGCGCGCCAGTTCGACTGCGAACGCATGTTCGTTGCGCACTCAAGAGCGCGACTGGGCGTGGTTGTGTTGCTGCACCCACCGCTCGAACTTGTGCGATCGCGGCTGCATGTGTCGAGCGTTGCCAGAAGGGGCTCGTTGTCGTGGCCGCGCCTTCCCTGTTCAGCCTTGATTCTCGCCGGCTGTGGAAAGGGGGGGGAAAGGGGGGGATAAAGGGGGGAGAAGGTGGGGGGTTCGTATCCTTTCCGCGCCTTCGCCTTCGACCTAGTGTGCTTCCAGCGCTTGGGTGGCGTTGCAGTGCACGACTGTCGCGTGATCGCCGCTCTGCCAGAGTCAGCTTGCACTTGCTCGCTTGCGTACACATGAACCTGTATGCCTGTGCACATGTTCTGCTTTGGCGAATGTGTGCTTTGGTGTGAGAAATTGTTTCTAACTGATGCCCCAAATTGCGCTTCGTCACACCGATCTGCATTTCAATCTACCCATGTGGATCGATCCGACGCTGGCGTGATCTATGTTATGTTGTTATGTTGACGTGTTGTTGTTTTTTTGCTGGTTGTGGATTTAGTGAAGCGCCTCGTGGAATCTTCGTCTGATGCGTTCCCGTGGTTTCGCATGTGTCTCCAACGTGTGGTTGAGAGGCTGAGCGCCAGCATGCCCGATGACAGTCGATATAGAATTGTTGATGCCGTATTGTATGATGATATCATGGCGGCTCTGTTTGCCAATCTAGTGGTATGCTTGTTCCAAGCGCGCAAAGCGAGTTGTACCCAGACGCGCTTGCCATGGCGAGACGGCCCGTTGATATTGTTATGGGCCCTGTCGTGCTCGCAACCTGCCTACACGTGGAGTTGCATCGGCAAGCGCCTGCAGGACACTGTGTCGTGCAGCTTCACCACAGGAGGAGCTATCCTTGGACTTGCTGTGCTATTTGTGTTCAAGGCTCCCGTGCCGCTCTCGCCTGCCGTTCTCTGCTCTGGAGTGTTCAGAACAGGAGATGGGCGTGACGAGCACGCGCGCGAAGCCTCTCCGAGGTAGCGGCATGGCCCAACAGTTGCGCCGTCCAGTCGGGTCATCCCTCAGGAACCGTTTCGATCCGATCACTCCGATTCGATGCCGACTTCGGCTGTCTCGATCCTGTTCGGCTCCGATCTTCCAACAATCCGGCGCAGTCCGACGCTTGCAGGGAGCAGTGACTCGTGCATCCTGGCTGCTCCGTGCCGATGCTGCAAGATCCTGCGCACGCTCCGATCCGATCGATCCGGATCCGACGCTGCTTGGCGCTCGCTGGCCCCTGCCCATCCACCACCCTCTGGGGTCCGCTTCGATCCGACCGATCCGCTTCGCGAAGGAGAAGCAGGAGCATCAACGTACACTTCCGGAGACCCGGGAGGATTCCTTCCATCGGCGCTATAGGCCCTCCCGGCGGTGCCTCCCTCGCCGCCCCATGGCAGTGGCCGCGCGCCATGGTAGGGCGGCCCAGCGCCGATCCGAGAGAGCCGCATGCAGCTCCGAGAGCTTCTGGTTACGCATCTCCATATGCCTGTGTATTGGATATCGATTCTCCAATATACCGCCGGGCTCCGGAGGAAAAGGGCGGCAATTTTCCACAGTAAAGCGGCGGTGGATCACGCCCTCTCCCATCTTTGAAGCGGCTGCGAGCCTTTTGAGTATGGCCAGAGTCTAGTATCCCCGAACAGCATGTTTTGGCCATCGATTCTGGCTGGCTCGATCTTATTTCCTTTTGGTGTTACGACGATCGGGTGCTTCCCGACGCTTGCACGGAGCGCGGCTGCACATCTTGGCGCGGCCGCCACCATCCGATTCGTGCCTTCGGCTCCGTGCCGATATACAGCCCGGTTCGACGCATGGTCCGATCCGAATCGATGTTTCGATCCGATGCTGAAGCATGAAGGGGGAGGGAGATGGAGGGATTGAGAGTCCTGGAGGGGAATGGTTGGCGTTTTGGCAGATTTCTGGACCGTCTCGGCTCGTTGCCGCTTCTTTTCCTACCTGCGTGCTAGTCCCTCCCAGAGCCAAGCCTGTGGTCGCCCACGGGAACAGATCGTGTTGATTCTGTTCACTCTCTCCTTTGCCTTTTCTTCCTTGATTGTCTACGGCGAACCTCTGCTGTCCCCGTCATTTTTCAACAAACGTAGAGCCGACAAAGTCTTGCCAAGCCATTGGACTGTGTGTTCCCCAAGTCGTTGTGGAAACCCTTGGGGAAACATGTGGGGGAGGAAGAGAGCGAGGGAGAGGATGAGGAGGAGGAGGAGGAGGAGGAGGAGGAAGAGGAAGAGGAGGTGGCTCGGGAACCTCTTTGTGTTTTCTGGGAACTTCTTGGGGGCCTCTTGAGGCCTCTGAGGGTCTCTTGGGGGGCTCCTTCGGCCTCTTGGGGGCCCCTTGGGAACCTTTGGGGGCCTTTGGAAGAGGCCTCTTTGCGTTCGGATGCTGTTTGGGAGTTCTTTGGGGAACGCTTTAGGGCCGTGTTGGAGGTATACGGTGCTTCCTTGGGGCCTCTTTGGAGCCCTCTTGCGGGCTTCTACGGGGCTGTCTTGGGGACATTTTCGGGGCTTGTTGGGCCGACTTGGGCCGTCGGGGCGCTAAACCATGTCTACATATTCGGGGAAATCCGTGATGTTGTGCTCTTCGGCCCTCCTGGAAGGAGCACTTATGGGGCGTTGTGAGCCGCCTTGAGGCAGTATGTGCCGTCTTGAGGTCATTTGGGGGCGTCTTAGAGTTCTCGTGTCCGACTTGGAGGCCGTTTTCGCCGTCTTCCATGTACTTTGGGCCGTCTTGGAAACCATCTTGGACTGTCTCGGAGGTGATATTGTGGGCCAGTTTGAGCGTCTTGGTTGCGGAGGAGGGTTTCTTGGGGATTTCTCTTGGTGGGCGGCATGTCGAGCCAAGACCCCATTTGGAATATTCTGCAAGGGCCCAAATGTCAGTTAGCACTTAGCACGCCGCGCCCCCCTTTGCAAGCATGGAGGCGGTGAATCTAAGCTTGGGGTTCTGTTTCAGAGGCGTCCTGGAGGCCTCTCGGGGGCCTCTTGGAGGTCTCTGGAAGGTTTCTTGGGAGCCACTTCAGCTTCCTGTGGGCCCCTTGCGGCCGTCTCGAAGAAAAGCAGCTGGCTCCAGACCATCAAGCACTAAGCTCTGGAGCTCAGTGTTTAGTCTTTGGGGCCTTGTGACTGCATTGGGATCTGTATCCGCCACGCTTCGCACCTCCCCCCCACCGTCACCGAGGGTCGAACGTCGCCCTGGCCGCAGCTGTCAAGTGGGCCCGCGGGCATTCCCCACGGAAAGCCCGCCCCACTCGATCTGAGTATGGCACGTCACCGCCATCGCCGCCGCTGCCGTCGCCGCCGCGTGGCGCCCTGGGCATTACTGCCACGCTTCACGCTCCCAGCCGGCCATGATGCCGCTGCTGGCGCGGGTGGCCCGGGCGACCCTCGCACCCCGCGCCCCAACACTCTGCACCGCACAGAGAGCTCCCCTCCAAGCCGGAGTAGTAGGGCCGTCCCAGATGGGGCCGCGGGGAGGGGCGCAGGACGGAATTGGTGCGTGCAGTGGTGCACAATCATTGCTGGGGGGCGCGATCGATTGCATGGGGTTGCAAGCACTGCATCAGAAGCAAACAATATCAGTGCATGCATTCGATCATGGGCCCGCTGCACAACGCAACTGTTTGATTTGCGCGCCGAAGACCGCCGCAAACCGCCGAAACCCTCGAGAGAACCGTCAAAAGACCGCCTAAGGCCGCCAGAGGCCGATGGGTAAGAAATGAGTCCACGGTCGAAGACGTAGCTTACCAGTTGGAAGCATATCTTTATCCTTATGTGTTTGGCATCAGCTCACCTCGGTGCTGACCTTGAGGATTCCCTGAGTCGCTGAGTGAAAATCGCTAAGACTTTCATCGCTTTTGGCTTGCCAATCTTTGGGATAGGGACAAGGTCGACGTTGGTTAGTAGCTGGCTCCTGGTCATCCTTGGGGGGAGGCGAGAGTGGGCGCCCTGATGCTCGCGGGGCCCGCCGTTCTAGGCAACCTCTGCCCGCTGGGTGCCGCACGTGTTGAAGGTGCTGCCTTGGACACATCGGCTGTGAAATGTGAGCAGGAGCCGTTTGGATTCGATTCTGATGGTTTCGATGCCGATTCGACTCCGAACTTCGACATTGGCTCGGATTTATTGCGTGCGCCCTGGCTCTTGCTGGTGTGCGCCAACCTCGATGCCGTCCGATCTGCCTTCCGATTGTGTGCCGGTTCGATGTGGATCGATGCGCCTACGTTTTCACTTCGTGACCGCTGCGATCTGTCTTGATTTGTCCTTTGGGAGTGTGTGACCCCTGCCCCCAACTCATTTGCACCACTGGCATCAACAGCATCTGCGCCAGCTCGGTGGGGTTGTTGAAGCTGCCACGCGGTCCTGCCACGCCTGCGTCGCACATGCACGTTGTGGGTGCAGCGCGAATGTGGAAGGTGAAGCGGTCCTCAGCACATGTGAGCATGATGAACGGGTTGCGCATTGGGCCACGCTTTTATCACCCCCCCTGTGCCCCGTCCAGGTGGTAGCCCTCTTCATGACGAGCAGGGCGAGGAAAACAGTCCGCACCAAGTGCCCATGCAGAGTCTTTGCACTATGCTGATTTCTGGTCTACGAGGTTCAGGAAGGCGACGAATTGTTTGTAGTTTCTTAGCATCTGACGCAGACTACATGTGCCTTTCGGAAGCCGCCGTTTTCACACAGCCACACACGCACGCGCACGCGCACGCACGCACGCACGCACGCACACCTACATATGTTTATATATATACACACATACACATGCATATACGCATGCATAGACATACACTCACAACTTTACATACGCTGACATCTATATCTATATATGTATACATCTATAAATAGTCATGTATGTATGTACGCGGGTGTGCGAGCATCCCCGTCCCCCTGGAAATTCCAAAGGTCATTGATTGAGCTCGAAGCCTTCTTCTTGTCTGCATTTCGTTATGCGTGCAGGTGTTCGCAAGTGAGCTTGCACGTGGGGGTGCACATGCCTCTCCACATTCCTCCTCCTCCCTCTCTCCTCATCATCGCCTTCCTGCTCCTCCCTCATCCTCCAGCTGAGGGGGGGGGAACAACAAAAACACACACGACAAAACCAAACAATCAACACAACTCCAAGACCCACGGCGGGTACACCAAACACCCAATAGAACAACCCAAACCAATGCAACAAGACACACCAAAACAAACTGTATTTACTCTTGGGGTGGGTGGTGGGTGGTGGGGGGGGGGGTACAAAGTCTATGTGTTTTTTGTTTCGTTTGCTATTCCCTGTGTTTTATTGTTGTTGGGGGGTCCAGCACTGTTTTTTAATTGTTATTGGGTTGTGTGTGTTTCCGTGTGTTTCCCCACATCCAACGTGGCGTTCTGGTTTTCTCGGCACACGCCCCGTGCAGGATCTCTCCCACCCCCTCTCGTCCTCATCATCATCATCATCATCATCATCATCATCATCATCATCATCATCATCACACGCTCACACACTCACACACGCACACGCTCACCCCCACCCTCTCCGCCACTCTCACTCACTTCATTGTCATCACTCACACAATCACACCCACACTCGCTCACTCACACACCCACACCCACCATCATGGTCACCACCATCAGCACTCGATCGCTCACCCACTCACCCACTCACTCATCATCACCACCCACACACTCACCACTCACTCACGCATCACTTCGTCATCACTCACTCCCTAGTTTGATTATGGAGTATCAAGCGGGAGCTTCGTCTGCGAGTGAATTGTTGTGAGGAAGTCTCAGGTGGGAGCCGCCTCCCTATTGGTCCCGCACTTCATGTTGGTAATCCGAGGGGGCCATCCTCCACCTTGTAATTATTATCATTTTGGGGCTCCTGAGGTCTAAATATGGAGGAAGTCTCAGGCGGGAGCCTCGTCTGTGAGTGCATTGCAAGGAAGTCTCAGGCGGGAGCTCCCTCCTCATGGGTCCCGCACTTTATGTTGGTAATCTGAGCGGGTCATCCTCAACCTTTTAACTGCCATCATTTGTTGGCTCCTGAGGCTTGAACTGAGAGAGAGTATCAGGCGGCAGCTTCTTTTCTGAGTGAATTCTGAGGAAGTCTCCGGCGGGAGCCCCCTCCCTATGGGTCCCGCATTTCATTATGGTAATCAAAGCGGGTCATCCTCAACTCTGTAACGTTCGTAAGTTGTTTGGGGTCTTGAGGCTTGAATTTTGAGGAAGTCTCAGGCGGCAGCTTCTTGTGTGAGTGAATTCTGAGGAAGTCTCAGGCGGCAGCACCTTCCCTATGGGTCCCGTATTCTTGGTAATCCGAACGGGTCGTCTTCAACATTGTAATTGACGTAATGTTTGGGCTCCTGAGGCTTGAATTTTGAAGAAGTCTCAGGCGGGAGCCTCGTCTGTGAGTGCATCGCGAGGAAGTCTGAGGCGGGAGCCCCCTCCCTATGGGTCCCGTATTCATGTTGGTAATCAGAACGGGTCGTCTTCAATTTTGTAAGTGACGTAATGTTTGGGCTCCTGAGGCTTGAAGTTGGAGGAGTCTCAGGCGGGAGCCTCGTCTGTGAGTGCATTGCGAGGAAGTCTCAAGCTGGAGCCCCCTCCCTATGGGTCCCGTATTCATGTTGGTAAGCCGGGCGGGTCATCCTCAACCTTGAAATTGTCGTCACGGTCGGGCTCCTCAGGCCCCACGATGGAGGAAGACTCAGGCCGCAGCCTCTTTTGTGAGTGAAGAGTGAGGAAGTCAGGCGGGAACCCCTTCCCTATGGGTCCCGCACTTCATGTCGGTAATCCGAGCGGGTCATCCTCAACCTTGTAACTGTCGTCACTTGTTGGCTCCTGAGGCTTGAATTTGGAGGAAGTCTCAGTCGGCAGCTTCTTTTGTGAGTGAATTATGAGGAAGTCTGAGGCGGGAGCCCCCTCCCTATTGGTCCCATGCTTCATGTTGGTAATCCGAGCGGGTTGTCGTCAACCGCGTAATCGTCGCCATGTTTGGGCTCCTGAGGCTTGAATTCAGAGGAAGCCTGCAGCGGCAGCCATTTTTAGTGAGTAAATTGTGACGAAATCAGGCGGGAGCCCCTTCCTCATAGGTCCCGCATTTCACGTTGGCAATCCGAGTGAGTCATCCTCAACCTTGTAACCGTCGTCATTTTTGGGTTCGTGAGGCTTGAATTCAGGGAAATCTTAGGCGGGAGCCTCGTCCGTGAGTGAATTGCAAGGAAGTCTCAGGCGGGAACCCCCTCCCCATGGGTCCCGCATTTCACGTTGGTAATCCGAACGGGTCATCCTCAACCCTGTAGCCGTCGTCACTCTTGGGCTTCTGAGATCTGAATTTGGAGGAGAAGTCAGGCGGGAGTTTCGTTTGCGAGTGAATTGCAAGGAAATCTCAGGCGTGAGCCTTTTTCCCTATGGGCCCTACGGGCCACCATCGTGTCATTCGAGTTTCATCCAGACGACGGGCGGGAATGCGAGGAGCGCGCGCCGGGCCAGCTCTTTCGCCCCCGCTTTCTACCGCAAGGATTCTGGCTGCAGGCCCACGGCTTCAAGGAACCCCCGATCTACAAGGATGTCGCCGATTTGCTGCTGCACAGATCCGAAGGCGCTGACGACGGCGGCGACGCCGAAGTGCGGGCGAGGAACTTGCTGATGTTCAGGTCCAGCGAGCAGGAGCTCACGTGGCAGAGCTCGGGGACGCACGTCGCGCGCCGCTCGGGGTTCACCCTGACGCACGCGTCCTACCTGACGTCCACGCTGTCGCAGGGCCAAAGGCTGCTGCGCAAGGGCGTCACCATTGAGTGCGCCAGGGATGAGGGCGCTGGACGCACGGGCATGTCACCCGATCAGCGGTGGCTGCACCTCTACGTCATGTTCTCCCGCGCCACGCGCGTGCGGATCATGCTGATCCTGCGGTTGCCCCCGCGAGACATCCGGGAACGCGGGCCGCCGGCTCCCCTGCGGGAGGCGCTCCGGCAGTTCGACGAGAAAGCGAAGACTTCCGGGGATGAGGCCGGGCAGCTCGCCGCGGAGCCTGGCCTCGCGCTGCCTCTCGCCCGAGCGCCGCGGCGCGCAGCTAGAGACCGCGGGGTTGTCCCAGCGGTCTGGCCCACGGGGTTGTCCTGGCGGCCTGCCCCCTCGCCCCGGCGGCCCGCGGGGTTGCCGCGAAGGCGTGGCCCGCAGGGCTGTCCCAAATGCTTCGCGGACCAGCCGCGGGCGAACGCGCGCGCGCTGGCCGAGGCGGCGACGGCGCCGAGGAACGTCGATTTGCTTGCCCCGACCAGGGGAAGTGGGAGAGCACAGAGAGAAAAAGCAGGGGAATGATGAGGACGGGGAAAGGGTAGGGAGAGGGCGATGATGAGGAGGAGGAGGAGGAGGAGGAGGAGGAGGAGGAGGAGGAGGAGGAGGAGGAGGAGGAGGAGGAGGAGGGGGGGATGTAAGGATGACGATGCGAAATATAAGGAACAGGACGAGAAATAAAATAGGGAATCGGATGGAGGGAGGAGGAGGAGGAGGAGGGAGGAGGGAGGAAGGAGGAGGAAGGAGGAGGAGGAGGAGGAGGAGGAGGAGGAGGAGAGGAGGAGGAGGAGAGAGGAGGAGACGGAGGAGGGAGGAGTAGGAGAGGAGGAGGAGGAGGAGGAGGAGGAGGAGGAGGAGGAGGAGGAGGAGGGGGAGGAGGAGGAGGAGGAGGAGGAGGAGGAGGAGGAGGAGGAGGACAGGGCAGAGCAGAGGGCAGAGCAGAGGGCGACAGGAGGGTGTTCGCCGGGGCGAGGAGGAAAGGTCTAAGGGCAAAAACCAAACAAATGTTCATGCGGGGTCCTTCCGTCGGGGTATTTTTTTGGTTGGGGGGGTTCGGTTCCCCCGCCCCATTGGGGGCGAACGGCAGGAGTGGGGGATCAGGAATGGGCGTCATGCGATGCCGCGGGCGCGGCGGCGGAGGTGAGGCAAGAGGAGGTGGACACGAAAGTGAAGGCGGTGCTGAGAGGGGGTTTGGTTTGTTGGAAAGGAGGATTCTAAGAGGGTGGACCCCATTGAAATCTGTCACGACAAGGATTATTATTGGAATCCTCGACAATGCGTTTCCGATTGAAATCCTCTACATCAGGTCTCCCATTGAAATCCCAAACGGCAGGATTCCAAATCGTCCACATAAAAGGTTCCCATTGACGTTTTCTACAAGAAGGGTTTCTTTCTTCGAAATCCTTCACGGCAGGATTCCTGGTGAGCTCCTCCACCAAAGGTTATTGTTGTAACCCCCGACAACAAAGATTTTGATTGAAATCCTCCACAAAGGGTTCCTCTTGGAACCCTCATCAACAGGGTTTCGATTGAAATCCTCCACGGGAGTTGAACTGCACAGCAGGATTTCGAATGACATCCTCGACATAAGGATTCCGATGGACATCCTCTACAAAAGGGTTTCTATTGAAACCCTCCACATCCGGAGTCCTATTGAAAGTACAACGATTCCATTCGAGATTGTTTTACATACGGAATATTACAAAAACCCGCCGCATTATGACTCCTATTGAAGTCTGGTTCCAAAAAGATTCCGATTGACATATTTTACA